GCCCCGAACATCTGGTCAGAGTTTATTTATACAAAAGATAAGAAAGGAATGGGAGTGAGATCATGTGAGGGAGAGAGTGAGTGTGTGTGGGTATGGGAGGTTACAAGGACAAGAATGTGTGTGTGTGTGTGTGTGTGTGTGTGTGTGTGTGTGTGTGTGTGTGTGTGTGTGTGTGTGTGTGTGTGTGTGTGTGTGTGTGTGTGTGTGTGTGTGTGTGTGTGTGTGTGAATGCTTCAGGACATTCAGTTAATAGGATTAAAATAATGAAATATAAAATTTCCATAACACACAGGGAGAACATGCAAACTCCATGCAGAAAGATCCCAGGATGGGAAGCGAACAGAAATGAGAATATAATCATGATAAATAAAATAATATAAAGAGGCAAAAATTAGAGAAATGGCTAAAATATGTACAAGACAGTGAAGGTACTGATCAGAGCAGAACAGTTCAGGTGCATCACACAGGTCACTGTGGGTTTTTGATGCAGACTGAACATGAAAATAGTCTCCTACACCTATCTTCTCTATTAGATTTTGAGAGGAAATAGACGGTTAAATTCTAGGATTTGAGAATCCCGACAGATCTACTTCTCCTTGAACCGTCACCTTATCGTGGTGGAGGAGTTTGAGTGCCCTAATGATCCTAGGAACTATGTTTTCTGGGGCACTTTGTGCCCCTGGTAGGGTCTCCCATGACAAATGGGTCTTAGGTAAAGGGTGAGACCAAGAACGGTTCAGAAGATCTTTCATGGACGTAAAAACAAAGAGTCTGAGTACCCAGCCCAGAAGGTTACCGGGGTCCCACCCTGGTGCCAGGCCTGGGGTTGGGGCCCATGAGCGAGCGCCTGGTGGCCAGGCTTTTGGCCATGGGGCCCAGCCGGGCCCAGCCTGAACCGGATACATGGGCTCGTCCAACTGTGGACCCACCACATGCAGGAGGAACATGAAGGGTCCGGTGCAGTGTGGATCGGGTGGCAGACCGAGGCGGGAGCCTTGGCGGTCCGATCCCCGGACAAGGAAACTGGTTTTTGGGACATGGAACGTCACCTCGCTTGCGGGGAAGGAGCAGGAGTTTGTGGCAGAGGTTGAGCGGTACCAGCTAGATATAATCGGACTCATCTCGACACATAGCATTGGCTCTGGAACCCAAGTCCTTAAGAGGGGTTGGACACTCTTCTTTGCTGGAGTTGCTCCGGGTGAGAGACGGAGGGCTGGGGTTGGCTTTTTGTTAGCCCCGAGACTCTCTGCCTGTGTGTTGGGGTTTACCTCGGGGGACAAGAGGGTAGCTTCCCTGCGCCTTCGGGTCGGGGAATGGGTCCTGACTGTTGTTTGTGCTTATGCGCCAAATATCAGTTCAGATTACCCACCCTTTTTGGAGTCCCTGGGACAAGTGCTAGATAGTTTGGCGATAACGAGCACCATGTCCGAACATAAGGATGCCCATCGGTACACTTGGTACCAGGGCAGCCTAGGTCGCAGGTCGATGATAGACTTTGTAGTCGTATCATCTGACCTGCGGCCGTATGCTTTGGACACCCGAGTGAAGAGAGGAGCAGAGCTGTTAACTGATCACCACCTGGTGGTGAGTTGGATCAGATGGCAGGGGAAGATTCCACGTAGGCCTGGCGGACCCAAACGCATAGTGAGGGTCTGCTGGGAACGCTTGGCAGAAGAACCTGTCAAGATGGTCTTCAACTCCCACCTCCGGCAGAGCTATGACCGCGTCCTGAAAGCAGTGGGGGACATCGACTCCGAGTGGGCCTTGTTGCACTCTGCGATTGTTGAGGCGGCTGTTGCTAGCTGTGGTCACAAGGTGGCCGGTGCTAGTCGTGGTGGCAACCCCTGTACCCGCTGGTGGACACAAGAGGTTTGGGGAGCCGTCAGGCTGAAGAGGGAGGCCTACAGGGCGTGGCTGGTCTGTGGGTCTCCGGAGGCAGCAGACAGTTACCGGATAGCCAAGCGGGGTGCAGCAGTGGCAGTTGCCGAGGCAAAATCAATTTCCCTCTGGGATTAATAAAGTATTTTTGAATTGAATTGAAAATCTCGGGCGTGGGAGGAGTTTGGTGAGGCCATGGAGAAAGACTATCGATCTGCGCCATAGAGGTTCTGGCAAACTGTCCGGCGCCTCAGGAGAAGGAGGCAGCAACTCGCTCACACTGTTTACAGTGCGGATGGGGAGCTGCTGACGTCAACTGGGGCTATAGTCGGGCGGTGGAAGGAATACTTTGAGGAGCTCCTCAATCCCACCTACGCGCATTCCAAGGAGGAGCCAGAGCCGGGAGACCTGGGGATGGATTGTCCAATCTCTGGGGCAGAAGTTGCTGAGGTAGTCAAACAAATACACAGTGGCGGAGCCCCATGGGTGGATGAGATTCGTCCTGGTATCTCAAGGCTATGGATGTGGTAGGGCTGTCGTGATTGACACGTCTCTGCAATATTGTGTAGTCATCGGGGGCAGGTCCAGTGGAGTGGCAGGCCGGGGTGGTGGTCCCCATCTTTAAGAAGGGTGACCGGAGGGTGTGTTCCAACTATGCAATGTGGTTTTCGTCCTGGCCGTGGAACTGTGGACCAGCTCTATACCCTTGCAATGGTGATGGAGGGGGCATGGGAGTTTGCCCAACCAATTGTCATGTGTTTTGTGGATATGGAGAAGGCTTATGACCGTGTCCCCAGGGGCACCCTGTGGGGGGATGCTCCAGGAGTATGGGGTGGGTGGCCTTTTGTTAAGGGCCATTCAGTCCGTTTATCAGAGGAGCGTGAGTTTTGTCCGCATAGCCGGTAGTAAGTTGGACCTGTTCCCGGTGAGGATTGGACTCCGCCAGGGCTGCCCTTTGTCACCGGTTCTGTTCATAACCTTTATGGACAGAATTTCTAGGCGCAGCCGTGGTGTGGAGTGTGTCGAGTTTGGTGGCAGGAGAATCTCGTCTCTGCTTTTTGCGGATGATGTGGTCGTCCTAGCTTCATCCAGCTCTGACCTTCAGCTCTTGCTGGGTAGGTTTGCGGCCAAGTGTGAAGCAGCTGGGATGAGGATCAGCACCTCCAAATCTGAGACCATGGTTCTTGACAGAGAAAGGGTTGCTTGCCAACTCCGGGTCGGGAGAGAGGTCCTATCTCAAGTGAAGGAGTTTAAGTATCTCGGGGTCTTGTTCACGAGTGAGGGTAGGAGGGATCGGGAGATCGACAGGCGGATTGGTTCGGTGTCTGCAGTGATGCAGACGCTGAGCCGATCTGTCGTGGTGAAGAGGGAGCTGAGCCAGAAAGCCAGGCTCTCGATTTACAGGTCGATCTACATCCCAATCCTCACCTATGGTCATGATCTTTGGGTAATGACCAAAAGAACGAGATCGCGAATACAAGCGGCCGAATGAGTTTCCTCCGTAGGGTGGCCGGGCTCAGCCTTAGAGATAGGGTGAGGAGCTTGGACATTTGGGAGGGACTCGGAGTAGAACCGCTGCTCCTCCTGATTGAAAGGAGTCAGTTGAGGTGGTTTGGGCATCTGGTCAGGATGCCTCCTGGACGCCTCCCTGGGGAGGTGTTTCGGGCATGTCCTGCCAGCTGTAGGCCCCCGGGTCGACCCAGGACACGTTGGAGAGGTTACATCTCCAATCTGGTCCGGGAACGCCTTGGGGTCCTGCCGGAGGAGCTGGTGGAGGTGGCCGGGGAGAGGACGGTCTGGAGCTCCCTAGTTGGGAGGCTGCCCTCGTGACCCGGACCCAGATAAGCGGAGGAAGACAACGACGAAGACGACAGATCTATGTCACACTGTCACCTAACGTTCTTAGACTCACAACGGGGAAGGCTGTTGTTGGTTTAGCGCCCAGGAAAAGCCCAACAACGTGCAGACTACTAGCTAATAGTTAGCATTAGCAAGTTCACCACACAGAAAAACTCCTCCAGGCTTGTGTTATTTAGGCAATATGTCCAAATATCAGGAAGTAAGACTCCAAGTCATGTTGGTGCTGAAAAAGGCAATTCTGGGCTTTTTTTTTTTGTCCTGAGTGCAGTTTGCAAGGCATTTATTCCTTTTCTTGATTTATCATTGCTTTTTCTTTAAATGTTATGCATTAGCTATCAGCCTTGGTTAAGGATTTGATTATCTCTGTGGGAGTTAAGGACAGGCTAATTATAAGCCACTAGGCTTCAACCTATTCCTTTTTTCAGTTGTTTGATTACTTTCATGTAAAATTGATACATTTTTGTAGTTGACCGAATAAAAATATCTCTCTCTCTCTCTCTCTCTACTAGAAACTACAGCAAATGGATTGATTTAACAAGTGCTCCACACCTTTAAGAAATACCCACTGGACTCGATCCCTGGTTTCACCAGAAGTGCTATATTGTGCTGCTGGTTATAGTTGCTCTCATATATAACAAAAGTGTAAATATGCAAAACTAATAGTGTTGAAAGACATAAATTTAGAGACTGGCAGCTAAAAATCATGAAGGACTTCAATTCTCTTCAGCATATTATTTATGACTTTTATATTAAAATAAACCTTAAAATGGCAGAAAAATCCCTTTAACAGAACAATATTGATATTGGTCAAGCCATAAGACCAGTTTGTTGTGCGCGAGGCCCTTCACCTTTCTGGATCTGAAAAAAGCTGTAAAATGAGCAACCATAAAAACTATTCAACTATTTCAGTGACAAATACCAGCTGTTCAATCTATGAAAATGCATCAATGTGTTTAATTTTAACCATAGCGCTTTTAGAAAATTAACATTTCCAACACAGTCAGGTCCTTTTTATTCATTTCCAGCTGCAAAAAAGCTTAAAAACTCCCTTTTGAAAATCAGGATTTGTAATTGACTTGAATGACTTGTAATTTCTGAACAACAATTTCAAAAGGAAAAGAATAAAGCAATTTTCATGAATGGTTGGAGACCGATCTGTGACCTCTGGGTCCAGCAATAAAGCTGAAAAAATCTTTTTCTCTAAGAAACCACTTTCATCTTTTTTAATTATGTGAAAAATAGTCAATGAAGTGCTTGACAAATCTCATTCGTACAGCAACTTTAATCAAGAAGCTGCTAAAGTTACACTCCAGGCTTTGACCTAACAAGTTCATTTAGAACGAAGCAGCAAATCCCTGCACGTCACGTCCAACAGGGTAAAGTTTCTTCGCTTGAAGTGAGAAAGTTAACAAAAAAAGGTAAACATGTCCTTGTTCATTCTAAGCAATGTAGAATCTCGCTAATCGTAAAAGCACTGGTTACATTTGAAGCTAACTTTGTATTTACAATAAAAACATGGTGGGAAATAACCCATTAAAATTAATTTCACATTAAAAAATTATATTAAAAAAAAACTCAGACTAAAAAAAGGGACCACTTATTTAATACTTTGTTTTCTAAAAGTAAACAAGTAAAATTACTGAAATTTGATTTTCCAAAGGTGTTTTGGGACATAAAACACCTTCAGTACAGCAATATAAATAAAAGTAATATCAATAGGGACAAAGATATCATCATGAGTGCTCATAAATGAAAAAAATGATGATTTTCCTGAAACAAGTTTAGAAACGTACCTATATGTTTTACCTAAACAGCATGCAGCAGGAGTCTGTCCTGTATAGTATGCTCAGCAGAAATGAAGATTTGAAGTTACGTCTAAGAAGCAGAATCAGCTGTTTTACCTTGTTTTAGTAACTTCACATTGATGCGTTTAAGTTTTCCGACATTTTCACATTAAGTATTTACAAACCTCCAACAATTAAACACCACAGACACAGTTTTGTACAATGAAACGGGTCAGAATTATTCCATTTCTACTTTTGTCTTTTGTGGTCTGACGCACAACAAAAGCCCTGTGAGTGAAGTCCACAAATGTCCGACTGCGATGAAGATCCAAGTGCGTCGCTACGGAGACCACCAGGGCCACCGCAGTAAAGGCACTTATTGGAGACAGAAATATTCTGACTGGCTTTTACTTTTTTGATGTGGTTGGCAGGATCCCACCGTGGGTGGGGATGTGTTTAGGAATACTGCTGGGTGAATTTCAGGTGGAACTCTTGGACTTTGTTCAGCAGGATCTTCAGCTTGTCTGTTCGTGGCAGGATGGTCATTCTGGGTGGAAACGAAGGACACGAAACAAACACATGATTATTAATCTTATATATGGATGAAGACATGGAAGGAAATTATCTTAACCTTTTTTAATCTGAATAACCTCCAGTTTGAGCCATCATTCAACAATAAACTGCACAGGTAAAACTTATTTTGAAGGAGTAAACTTCATTAATTTTAATATTTCATGGCTCCAGTTGCAGAAATGATATTCATAGCAGCAGGTTTCTATGTTTTATTTTAAAAAAAAACAGTAAATATAATTTTGTAGAGCAATTAAATCATAAAACGAAGAGCTCAACTCCTAAATTTTTACCCGAGTGGCAACTATAATTAAGAATATAAAGGGTCATGTTATAATGAAGGCAGGAACACCACTGCAGTAGTGTTTTATAACATTTTACACCTGCAGCCATGTTCTTCTGCATCTGTATAAATTCCTATTCTAACATATAAAAAAAATAAAATATAAACCTAAATGCTGCAGCTGCAATATTCCTTTTTCTTTCATAAATAAACCATCTGGTGTTTTTAAGTAAAAGGAAAACACAAAAACATTACTTCTTAGAGTTATTACAGCACAAATGCATCATTTAAAAAAGATTAGTGTTTAAAAGCCTCAAACTGCAGCTGAATCCAGCTCAGAAAAGCACTTCATGCATGTGAGAAATGCTCGTCTATTTGTGGACTTTGTAACTAAACTGACCGTTTACATGCACAACAAAGCAATAGAACAAGTCATGCTGATAGTAAAATGTAATTGATCACCCAACAATCATTTGTTAGAACTCGTAAAAATATGAGTTGAGCACCTGAAGTGGTAGGTTCCCTCCCTCTGACCAAAACCACTTCCGGGAACGAGGCAGATTCCCGTCTCCTCCAGCATCTTCATGCAGTAAAACATATCAGGCTGCTGTCCCATGTCCTAACAAAGAGAAATAGAAAAACATTATGAAGAAAATCTGATATTATGTAGTTATTTTTTAAAGAAACAAATCCACAGTTACAAGCTTTTCCCACATAATTTGACTTTTTATTTGTTTCTGTGGGTTTGATCTGAACTGTCAAACAGATAAAAAAACAGAATCAATTTACAAAAAAATCGCTCAATTTAGTCACCGTCTGAGATTAAAATCCATATGCCCTATTATAGAAGAATGACAGTTTATTAGTTTGTTATAAACTCTCCATGTTTTCTCTCGCTGTGTTGATGATCTTTGTTTTCTAAGAATTCCGTTCCTTTCGTTGAATAAAAGTTTTAAAACAACAACAACAACAAAAAAACACATTTTGCAGGATTCCTCGTGAAAAACGTCCGATGACATAACGCCACTCGAGCTTCGTGCGACTGTTTTAAGGTGGTGAAAACAATAGAGATTATCATGAGCCGAGTCGGTGGGATTGATCAGAAGTCAGAAGGTTGGTCGACTCTGACCTTCTCCTCTGTGGAGCTAATCAGTTTCCCAGCACCTTCTCTACTACTCAGCCTGCTGAACAACCTACAGAGCAGTCAGCTGTAAAACACAAGTGCTACGGAAAGCTATTGGAAATCGTTTGTTCTGTTTAGCAAACAGAACGGTGGCCGTACGATACCACCCCAACTCAGCACTGCACTTCCCTCAGATTTAATGGAAGCTCTAAATATGATTGTTTCGTAGAATTCTGCAAACAAAGAACAACAAAAAAATAAATAAATCTAAGAAAAATGGGTGGGTTCTATCATGTTTGGTAAGCCCCCAGTCTCTGTGATGTAATCACCTTGAGTTAACAATGGATGGAAACTTGAGTGATTGGAACATTTAGAGGGTTTAAGACTGACCGTGGCCTCTTTCACGGCCTTTTCAGGGATGGTTATGCGAGGAAAAGAGTACATGGCGCCCTGCACAGGATTGCAGCTGATGCCTTGGACGGTATTCAGAACCTGTTCCGTGAGTTTGGCCTTCTCTGCTAAGGTACTCAATGTGGCCGTTCGTTCCTGGAATTGGGAGAAAAGGAAGAAAAATTGAGTTAACTGAAGAGAGATTTTGTGTAAAAAATTTTTAAAATATTATTTAATTTATTTATGCTTTGCTAAAATGCTCTAAAATTAATTCTAGTCATCCTCGGCTCTCCTTAACTGGCTGTGTGTTGGCTTAAATCAGGGTTCTGAAACCTTTATAATCTTTTTAATAGTCATTTTCTCTCTCAGTCCACCTAAATAAAACTCATTTAGAGACACAACTGTAACAGGATCTTTCCAAAAAGAAACTATTTCTAATTTTAGAGAAATGTCCACGGAAGAGGATTAGAGAAAGTGGAAAAAAGAGTGAACATCGATGTAGCTTACACTAGTTTGAAGGAGCTAAAGAAGGCACAGACTGATGGTGACCTGGCTTTGTTGCTACTGGACTTTAAAGTAATAATATTTTAGTTCAAAAATGTGGATCTTTTTACTTCATGGTTTATTTAAGTATTAGTTGGCTCATGTTAGTGTTAGCTTGTTGCTAGTGCTATCTACAGCAGGCTGCATCAGGGTTGTTTACGACAGTTGTAATTCCACTTTGACCAGTAGGGCGGAGGAGCAGGAAACTGTCTAGTGTTACTTTGAAACATGAGCACATTTTTATAATTTTAGCCAAACTGATCATAGCACTTATTACAATTGATCAGGGTGAAGGCATCCAGTAACCAATGCCCAGCATGTGTTGGGCAAACACTGGAACTGGTCTGATAGGAAATTTCCAAAAGTTTCTGTTGAAGTTTCACAAGTTACTGACCCACCCAACCGTCCCGAGAGTCGTTTTAACTTGTAAAATGTTGACTAGTGAGTCCAGTTTCAAGGTCTGAGTGGTTGTGAAACCAGCTGACCTCAGGTGTCACCGGCACAATGCATGCAAATGAGCCATGACACCCATCTTTAGTAAACGACTCACAGGATAGACGGGTGACTCAGGTAACCCTAGACCTGTTTCATCAGTAACCCCTTAATCACTTTAGCTCTAAGTTATGTGAAACTGTGCTGATTGTGTCACTTCATCAGGAAGGGATAACTGATTATATTAGGGCTGGACGATATAGGAAAAAAGCTTATCAATTAAAAAAATCATATTGATTGACATCAATAATTGACTATATAAAAATATAGAAAATATATTTTAAGTTCCACTTTATGCCATGAATCCACGATAAAACAAGTTGGTTGCATACCAGACTTGATTTTTATCGATTCTCTGCCAATTGTGCAAACCAGCGTCGTTGTTTTTCGTCAGACTTGTAATAATAAATAAACTGCCACACTGGTGAAGTACTGTAACCTTTTCTCAAGACAATTTCTTCCACCTCTCCTTGCTACAACATCTTGTTTAAGTCACATTGCTGTCTGTTGAGGTTTGAGAGGAGAGGGCTTGGTGACAGAACGTGCTTGGGTCTGTGTTTTGATTGGTTAGGTGTAAGTAATGCCTCTAGTATGAAGCTACCCAATAGGCTATAATGGAAAAACTAACATTTGTATTCATTAATTCTTTTCCATATTGCACCACATGCCTATTGATTGATATATATTGTTATTGAATTATTATTCAGACATAGATTGTAATAGTCTGCAGGACAAAAATGCTCCTGTTTACCTTGATAAATCTTTCGTATGAAGGTTCCCCGGGCTGCGGGGGGTTGACCACCAGGTCCATTAAAGCTTGTCCAGGAACCGGAGGACACAGACGAACTGATAGCAGCTTGGTCAACTGTGCCTTCACATCGTCGTCCATGTTTATGATCTCCATGTAGCCGCCACGGAAGCCACACCTTAAAGAAAAAAACATTTAAATAAGACAAAACAAAAGCAAAATGTGTTTGCTTTTCTGTGAACATGAAACTGAGAACACTTACTCTCCCATGTAGCACTTGGAGGTGGAGTGGAACGATGCTAGTTCAACAGTCTCCGAGTACTCCGGTCCCATCTCGAACAGGACCTTCTTGAAAGAGTGGAACTGACAACCCTCTGCGTACACGTTGTCCTGATACACCTGCAGGTGTGGGGCAGGAAGCCAGACATCAGAATGCGACTTAGAGCAGGTAGACGTTTAAAAAGAGGCAGAGACAGTACCTCATCAGCCATGAGGAAGAGTCGCTCTTGAGCAGCAAACCGGATAACGTCTTCAATGCACTCTCTGCTCTGAACTTGACCTGAGAATAAAAGGAAAAGATGAGACGATAATGTTGTTGTGCTGCCATCTAATGGCAAAGGAAAGGATCTGTCAGTCAAAAACATGTCCCACATTCCCAGACAATATAGGAAGTAAACATAAAAAGGTAAAAATAAACCTACCTGTGGGGTTTCCAGGATTGATGATGCACAGAGCTCGGGGGTTGCAGTAGAGCCTGGCCTCATCCAAAGCTCGCTGCAGCTCACTGATGTCCAGGCTCCAGAACTTCTCCTCGTTAAGGTAATAATTGATTTGCACAGCACCAAGTTCGGCCAGCGCAGCTGAATACAGGGGATACTGAGGTATGGAGATCATGACACCAGCGCGTGTTGCGCCTTCGCCACACACCAACAGCTTCAGCATCGTCTGAATGGGGAGATAACAGAAATAATAACCTGCTTATCTTCTGTAAATACACACCTGCTTCCTGTGAGTACGATCTGTAATTGTTTAAGCTAACTCACTTATCTGCAATTCCAGATGAAACCTGCAGCATACAGAAGGTTTTCTTCTTAATGGACAACAGCATCCTAAAGTCTCATGCTGATCCTAATTTTATTAACTCTAAGTTTAAGGGAACCAAACTCTCCTTTAAGAGATTCTACTGACCTTTTCATTTTCTTTCAGACACAGTTTCCCCCTAATTTCTTATTTTTAAACACTCATAACACAGTCCAGTCCTGAAACATTTAGCTGCTTTTAGCTTCTACGCTGCACACAGACGGAATCAGCTTCCTCGTGACCTCAATGTGACCCAACTCTAGTAACTTTTAAATGAAAAACTTTCATGTATTCATTATCTTTTAAGTGAATGTTTATGCTGGACCTTCTGCACTGTAACTGCTCACCCATTAACTGTCTTTTTTTCCGATTCTTAAATCTGAAATAAATTTGTATATTTTAATGGAGCTGTCACGTTATTTCAAAAGGATACTAGGCAACTTTTTCAGTTGAACCAGTATGTGATCAAATAATGCTTTACAGGGTTAACAAAAAGTCACTCAGACCCCCATATTGCAGAATAATGCACGCCACCTGTGGACCTACAACAATTTGAGCTGACATGACAGCACTGCAGTCTGCTTCCAGCATGTTTTAGATCATAAACACAGCTGATTTGTTTGATTTAGTTAAGAATCGCTCCTGTAGACACTAATGAAGGCTGGGGAGACTTTTCAGCAGTTAGATTAAGGTGTTAAAAAGATAAAAGCACAGCGAGGAGATGAGTTTTGCTTTTGGTTCTACTAAACGGACACTAGGCGATGCTAAAAGCAAGCCAAAACTGCCAAGTGTGCCTTTAATGTCTGTGCTATTCTTGCCAATGGAAAGCACGTTGAATTGCTTCTGTATATGAAATGTGCTTTACAAATAAAGCTGCCTTGGCTGAAACTTGACTGAAAAACCACATTTAACAATGAATTAAAAAAAAAACTGAAAGAAAATGGAAAAAATTTTCAAAATTATTTTAAAAAATACCTCTGACTGACTATTATTCAGACCAGGTATATCAATTTGTTTACACATGTTACTAGAAACTCCTTGGAAAGACATCATTTTCATTTAGTCGTAAATGAAAACAAAACAAAAAAAACAAAACAGAGAAAATACATTTTAGGAAGCATAAGGAAGCCTAATGTATTTTTTCTACAGCATTTAGCTTCCCCTACTAAATAAACTGGACTCAGACAGTAAACAAAAGCTGTAATGAGAGCTGTTTTGTACCACAATGCCGTCGCTGGCCCCTGTTGTGAGGTAAATGTTATCTGGATCACAGGGCACACCGCCATCCCGCCGCTCGATGTAACGAGCCACATCCTGACGCACAGACTCGATGCCTTGGCTGGGGCTATAGGAACCTGGCATTCAGAGGAAGACAATGCTATGATCAGCAGAAGACTTGGTGCATAAACATAATCATCTGATAATAAAGTGGAGCTTTTACGTACCCATACTGTTCCCTCCGCAGGAGTTCAGAATGCTGCATGCTCTACTTTTAGCATCTTCTGGGAATGTGCTGTCGCTCAGCAGTTCAGGGTAGGAGCAGAGAGCCAGGACCTAAAAACCAAACATGCTGACATGTTAAATCGGGTTTATTCACATTAAAACCACTAAATTTATAATATTTAGATTTTAAAAAATCAGAGAATGGATTTTGAAGCTGACCTGTCTGAAGAAAGTGATCGGCTGCTGACCCATAGCATGGGCGTCACCGATGTTAGCCTTTATGACCTCTGAAAAGGGCTTCTTCATTCCCTGTCAACCATAAACATCATGTAGAGAACGTTAAGTGACACAAACAAAGAAAACCTCTAAATCAGATCACAATCCCGAGGAAACCACCTCAACATGCTGTTAACTTTCACACACCAACATTTAAACCGCTACCAACCAAAATAGAACAAGTTGCCCAACGTGAAGAAAGAGAATGCAGCATGCCACGTTTATGAGACGAGTTAAGCGTATTACTTGAGTATTTAATTACGATCCTCCAGGCTGATGCTAATATTTCTGGGAGATCATCTGTAGTGCAGCTGGGACCCCTGACACAGCACAAACACAAGCTGCTCACGTCGGCTCATGCTGACAGCATGACTCTGCAGAAAAGTCACCAACTGTGTGACACCCCGCAGCAATCACAACAGTGTGTTTGCTGGATTTGATGAAACCCGCCACTCTGGGACTGTCATTGGTCACGCTGAAGAGGCGTCTCTCAGGCTGAGCCAATGACATCAGAAAAGAGAAAAGACTCCCCTCAGTGAGGGAAAACCTCCCCAGTTCATGACAGCAACCTTTTGGAAACGAGCCAAGCTTTGCTCGCCAGAGCTTTCACGTCCAGATGTCGAGATAAAAAACAACATTGTACGGCTTGGCTGAATTAAAGAGCTTTGTATTGGTTGCCATGGATACACTACAAAAAATGTCCTCATTCATTATCAGCTACTGTCTCATTAAGCCAAAACAAAGACAGCAAACACACAGAGTCCCCATCAGAGCTCTGGATGAACATTTGTGTAAACAACACTTTGCACACTTAAACTTGCTCCTCCTGTTTTGTACATAATTAAATAAAGGTGTGGATCACAAGAAAAGGAACATTACCTTCAGCTGTGTGTGTGAGAATCCCATAATGACCCATTTCCCAAAGTAACCCAACACCTTACAGAGCAAAGTTTGAGAAAGCGAAGCGGATTTGGTGTTACTGCAAGTCAGAACGAGACTTTTATTGTGGAAAAATACGATAAGCCAAGAGGACTGGTAGTGATTACACGTCCTCTGGAGCAGTTTGTGAAAAACAAAAGGAAAACAACATCTGCACTTTTCTTCCACCAGTAATGTCTGCCTTTCTGTGCTCAGAAAACATCAGTAACACCTGATAAAACTCTCATACAGTGGAGAAAAAAAATTAATCAACTGGAAGAAAACTCAAATAAATCAGATCAGCTGCGATCGGGATTTGCTCAGGATAAGCTTCAGTCAGAGTAAACAGAACAACACATCTTTGAAGCCCCTGAACCAAAGGTTACTATCATTATGATGCCATGGGCCACAATGCAGAACCAGTTCTCCTCTGAAGGAAGCACTCAGGGGAGGTTTTACAGCAGAATGCACTTTGTACACCAACAGCTGCCACATCACCATAAAAAAGACTGAATGGAAGAGCCTGAGAATAATAAAAAAAAGAGAGAAATTTTGCTCATTGGTGACAAATGTTATTTTTTCCCTCTTATTTAAAAATTGCCATCAATGATAAATATATAATAATAATACAGTGGCTGGATCTGATGACAACAGCTGGATCCAGTTGGTTTTTCTCTTCCTGGATGAGCTGGTTTAATTTTGATGACTAACATGGGCTTTGATAAGCAGCTGAAAACAGGCTGTTAGCTTTATGGCAACTTTTACATAATAAAAGCAGCTTTGTATGCAAAAAAGTTCAATTTTTCCATCTCTGACCCCCAAAATAAGTAATTAAACAGACTTGGAACCAGAGAGCTCAGATGGGCTAAAGGACACAGATGGCTCTCTGTTCAGATACAAACCTCACTCAGCTCCCTCTCTAGCTCCACTGCTCTCGCCACTATGGGACCCCGGACTGCGTACTCCACCTTCTTCACCGTGGGGTTCATGGTGTCGATGGTCAGAACTTTGGCCCGAGACATCATCCCGTTCTCTGACATTTTCTCTTTGGGAAGCCCGCGCCGGGTGGTGCTCAGACTCGATAAAGCTCTATTGGAGGAGGACAGAAGGGGAGAAGTCAGTGATCTCGACCCGACACCGGCTAACAGCACGCTTCGCCTCGGGCCTAAAAGCTGGAGGTGTCGGTGGGACAGCGGCTGCAAACGCGTGGCTGACATCTTCACCAAAAGTCGGTTTGAAAAAGTTTCAAATGAAAGTGGTGCGTAAAAACGCGCGCGAGCCGCGGCGCTCCTGAAGGCCTTTAGACTCTGAACCGATCCCCGCACACATCTGCGGGATTTCACAGAAACGCGGACGAAACTGCAGCTTTTGAAGGCTTGAGCCGGAGGGAGTCCCCCCTTATCCGACCCACCCACTCCAGCAGGTTCTCCGATTACTGGTCCAGTCCCAGTCCCAGTCCCGCCTCAGCAGCGACACTCAGATTTACTCTGATCTCTACATGGCTTGTCTTCTTCTGATGTGAGAATATTCAGGAGGCTCTGGGAGGAGACTTGGGTGACTAATAGCTGAACTTCATTCCTTCTTTGTGAACTGATGCGTTTCCACTTGTTCGTATCAAGAACCAGCACGCCACGTGACTTTCTGTGCATCAAATGTTTGTTTTTACTGGTTAAACTGGGACGCGACCTGCTTTCAAGTAAACAAATAACATTATATAGAAGTGTTGAGAAACTGGGATTGCATTATGTGGCACATACCCCCCAAGAAACATAAAATAAGTTTTGTATCATATTTATTAACTGATGATGGCTGCAATCACCATTTTTATTTGATCTTTTCCGTTTCTGTGCAAGAAAGTTTGCATAATGCAAATATTTTCTTGTGTAGTCCCAGTTCACGCAAAGCAGTTGGATCACTTCCGAGCATATACAATGACTTAGGAAATGTTATTACAATGTAATAATTGCATAAATGTGTTGAATTTATAAATATTTGGTCCATAACTTTAAATTGTGAACAGCTTTTTTAAATAATGCAGCTGAGAAAAATGTTGCATGGCTTCTGCTAAACTGTTTCCTCATTCTCACGCATGTAGGAGTCAAACGGCATGCTGAAACTTTCGTCATGTCTTCCTGATGCATGATGGACTCATTTGTTTCATGCATGCTTATGAAGAAACATGTAGCAAGACAATTATATAATAACAAGATCATAATAATAATGTTATAAAGAAAAGAGATTACTTAAACAAAAAAGAATAAAAAACATTAATTAATTTTTTTATCTAGTGTGACACATTATTAATTTGCAGGCAAGTGTGACCAGCTTTTATTCATACAACAGAAGCAGCTTAGAGGCTCAACACAAATGTGCAACAATCTTAATTCTAAAAAAAAAAGCATTTGTTCTAATGTCTGCTCTACAACTGTAAGCAGCTACGTAAAAAATATTTTAGAAAAAGTTAATAATTGAGTTTCTATATACTCAGAGGAAAAATAGCATTTTTTTCTATTGGATCCCCTTTTTGTGTGATTATTTTTGTAAGACTATAACATAAATTCACATTTCAAGTGACCAACATGAGATTGAAAAGTTGCAATGGATATGTATTAAAAACCTGTGGGTGCAACAATATCAGAGAGAGTCTGTGTAGCCAATGTGCCCAGTGCAAAGGTGGGCACAGATGGCATCACGAGAAGATAGAGCTGGTGCTGTGGTGTCTGCAATGCATAGCATTTGCATTCTTCTGTAACTAAATAACACTGTTGGGGCTGGTGGGAGAATCCAAGGAGAAAGTCTTCTGTGATGTCTCTCTGAGTCCTCTCCTCCTGGGTGAAGTAGCGTGAAATGCTGAATGTATAGAAGAGTTTCAGCAGCTCCCAGCAGCGAGCTTTGGAGAGTATAGGGGGGTGATGGGATGAATTCTGCAAACATGAGACTGAACGACGAGTTTCACGGTTGATGAGCAGAAGAGCCAGTACGTCAGGCCTCAGCGATATGGATCCGGGTAAGCAGCGGTCTCCAAGAGCCAGGCAATTTCTCAGGGTTTCTACCAGGGGTGACCAGAAACGACCCACCAGCTCAGTTCCAGCTTTGTGAAGGGATGGCGTGGAACCACACAGCACACACACGTCTGCTCCTGGGAGTAGCTGGAAGCGGAGCAAGCGGTGGGCGACGGTGGGGCTAAACTGAGGGAGAAAAACTGGGTAATCACATGAGGCTGATCCAGATGCAGATAAGGTACGAATCAGAGCAGAAAGCAGCACGATTTCCTGTGGCACCAGCTGCCGCCACCACTCTTCAGTCGCTGTAGCAATCCGCCCGTGGACCACCAGGCAACCAAACTCACTGTCAGCAGCCTGAGCAAACCCATCCACCGCCTCTTGGAGAAGAATGGAGCTTGAAGGTAGTAATGAATCAGCACAGTGTGTAAGGTTTCCAAGATAACCTTGTTTCTCTTCAAGCAGCTGATCAATCAGGCTGAAGCAGGACCTCAAATCCCTCTTCAGTCTTTCTACATTCCTGACATTAGTCAGCTCATCCTGCCCCAACACCAGCACCATGCAGCTCCAAACGTTTTCTAGGAGGCGCTGCAGGCGGGTCTCCTCCTCTGTGCCGCATGACCCACTCGGTCCACCTCCACTCACAGCGATGAGCATCACGCTGTCGAGGAAAACTCTCCACACCACCTTCCCTCCACCGTCCGTGTCGCAGCTGGACAACACCACTCCCTGTCCTCCCCCGAACATGTGAACGCCGTTCAAGGAGCCGATGACAGAGAAAGGCAGCTGTCTGGAGGCCCCTCTAGTGAAAAGAGGAACCCCGCTGCTGGCGGTGAGGCAGATGAGCTGGGTCGAACCGTCCTGGAGCATCATCATGTTCGAGCGTGTTGTTCTCCCCGCTCAGAAAACCGCAGGATCAGATTAATGAGCTTTGATTGAGCCAATTGTGTAACGACGAACCGGGAGGTAAAAACTCCCAACGTTGCATCAGCTACACCGTTAGCCGTTAGCGTCATATAATCACTGAACCACCAACTAGGCGAAATACCAGGCAGAAAAAAATATATTTATCCTAAATTAAATAAACGCACTAACCACCAGCCGCCGCTTTTTCAACTAGCTGTTTCTTTCTAGCTGTTTTAACCATGCTAGGTTAACAAAAGAGGTTACCGTCGTTTCCACAGTAACGCTGTCCCATGATTCATCCTTCGCACACCGCTGAATGTGGGCTCATTTGGCTGGTCGAGCTTCAGTTACTAGTTACGAGCTTTGCTTGAACCGCTGAGAGAGCAGGACGCGGAGACAGACCTGGGTTCAGTCCCCGGAACTCCCGGATGCGCCGCTCTACTCTCATGGATCTGACACCCATTGGTTCACATCTCGCGAGAGTCAAACTTGGCAAGATGATGCTGGATGACACGTGGATAACGCTCTTAAAAATATTGAAAGAATGCTACTGGACTTTGTTTGGAAAAGGAAGGTTTCCTATAAAAAATAAAACAGCTTTAATCAATTCGGTTACAAGTTATAAAAAAATTAAATAAAAGAGGACCTTAGTGTGTCAGCTATATTAATCAATTATACAAAAAGTAATAAAAGGAACAGAAGGGGAACAAAATAGAAGAAAAAGTAAATCTAAACCAATCTCAAAGAGGATCTATTTTCTTATGCAAAAGTGATTCAATAAATTTAAGAAAAATTAAGCTGATCAAGAAGGTATGCAGTCTAGCAGCAAAGGGGCTTTCCAACAGTTTCAAAGATTTTTGCAATAAGGAGAAATCCTTTTTAAGAGCAACCCATGAGGGGGCAGACTTAGCATAATGTATGTATATCATATTTTGTGTATATAATAAGATTGTTAACCAACAATTCTGTATTTTTATTTCATAAACTTACACCAAATTGAATATTCTGAGAGGACCAAAAGGCAACATTACTAAAAATGGAGGACATTGACTCGTGGAGATTTTCACAACTGTAAGACAGCGTCACATTCGTAGAACAGGTAATCTGTTGTCTCCAGATTGAAACATTATCCCCTCTTACATTTTCTCCAAATTAGGTGGTCTGAAAAATATTTTGATTTGTAATTATGAGACTCCCAAAATCCCCATAAACTCTCGAACAAGCAGATACTTGCACAGTCCCTCATTTTTAAGCACAATTTCTCACCACATACTTGTTATATTTGGAACATGTACATTACTCACAAGAATAAAAGCTTGTCTGTTAAAAACTGGTTTTGTAATATTATTGGCGTTAAACTAACAAAGCCTAATGGTCACTTTTACACCTACTCTATATTCATAGAAAAGTATCCTGTACCGGTGTCTCCTAGGGAGTTCTTAATAGTAATGAATGCAATACCTTCTGGAATTAAATACTGCTTGCAGGACTTTCTTTCATGGTTTGGTGGCTTATACCGAGCCCTCTCATACATGTTGGTAAAATCTGCTTCTCTTAATCAATCATGCAACAAATCTATCAGAGAGGGCTTTTTCAACAGCTTTCCATCTCTTCTCTATTAACATTCCGTGGAATAAAGTTTAGCTTTTAATCCCACAAATATATTTTTGCCTCACCCCACAAATGTGATTCATTAAGTTAAATAGCCATATTTTATGAGGGAAATGTATATTTTTAAAAATTGGATTAATACTTATTTTTTGCAACAAGTGTTTTTTTTTTACACATCCGTTTATGTTCTTCCTGTAACACTGTTCCATCTTTGTTGAGTTACCCATCAGTTCTGTTTACGTGGCCCAAGTGGCACTTATAAATGCAAATAATGAAATATACAGCCAATTCACTACTTAGAAAATTTCAACAAGGGGATAAAAGGCAAAAAGTTTATACCAAACCTTATACAATGCTGTGTCATTTAGGAAGTTATTTTTCTTACTTGCTGGATTTCCTTTTACTATCTGTAATAAATTGCTACATCTGTTGCACTTACCGGTACATTTAATCTCATACCTGGAAACAGTGACAATCACAATAAAGATGAATCCAGTCTCTTTGTTGAAAAGAAGAAAACAAAGCAGAGTTAAGAATATTTTTTATTAAATACAAAAAAGTCCAGAGCAACAATGACTAAAATAGAATGATAAAAAAGGCACAATATAAAAAAAACAACAACAAAAAAATCAGATTGTGCCATTTAAAAATGATCTTTTCTTCTACTGTGACTAGTAATATTGTTATTCCTGACCCATCTGCAATATGATGTAAACTTTATAGATCCTGTGGCAGTATAATGGCTTGGCATGAGGAGCAGTGCTGAGGTCAACATCTTCTTGTAGCATCTAAGGCCTGCAGAACAAGAGGGGAATGTATAGAACAGATTTTGTATTGTAGACATCCATTACCAACATTTAAGTTCAAACTATTCACTGCCATTCATAAAAATTGTTTAATTGCATGAAAAATGTTTGTCAACAGGTTTATATTTCTATTAGTGAAGGAAAATAAAAAATCCCAAAAAAGAATTTCACCAATACCTTGGCTACTCTTCAAGCTCAGAAAGTAAAACTATTAAAACTTCTTACAGCGCATAGAATATTAAAGTGTGCATGCATGTGTTCAGCACTTACCAATAAATACTTTCACAAGAAGGAGCAGACCTTCTGTGGCCTGAAGGGGTTGGTGCTGGAGGACACACCAGTGAGCAGAGGGTCCTGAATGGCATTCTGCATGCAAAACTGTTGTAGGTCTACAGCTGCCTGTGAAACCTGATAAAAATAAATAAATGGTGACATATCTGCAGCAAAAAATCTTTTAATCATGTTTTATTAGGGGACTTGTGTGATTTCTTCTTTAGTTTGAAAATTGTCTTATTTTAGGGTGAAAGCTAAAATTAACAAGTGGTTGTCCACTGAAACGATAAAGTACAGATATTGTGTATAGCCATTTTATTCTGGAGATGAAAACCTGCTGCCTCATTCTTCAAACGGGAAATCCAGGAATAAGTAATATAGCCGCTATTAACAGTATTGTTTAGCTAGTAAAATAAATAATCTTGTTCAGGTGATTATCTGGATTAATAATTAACTTATGTTGGAAATATCAATTAGGCACATGGTTTTTATCTTTATTTTGGGCGTATACTGCCAAGAAGCAAAGTACATAAATGCTACCGCTAAAGATCACTGCAAGAAACTTAAGATCCTAGCATCAAGCCGGACAGGTCAACTCTGCTTGCTTTGCGGTTAAATGATCACACTGAACAAGACACAAACTACTACCGCCCTATTTCCACACAACGCCCTGAAACGCCTGTTGCCCGTCTCGCTGATGGCTTCGAGAGACATGTTAGCTAGACATGCTAACAAATAACGGTTTAAACTTTTAAACATTTGCCAGGAAAGAAATTAAATTCCTCACCTTCACTCTGTTTATGCTCGCCTCAAAACGAAGCTGTTTTACCACCTTTTTCATGGCAACCAGGTTGGAGGAACTGGACATTTTTAATGTTTTGTGAAAGACAAACACCGAACTGACTCGCCTCTCAGCTACTGAAACAAAAGCAAAGAAGGGAACATCCGGGTCCCGTTTGGTAACACGTGACTGTAATAACAAGCTAAATACGCTAGGGGGTGCCAAACCACAAACACAACTTCATTAAAAACATTCTTTATTAAGCCATCAGGCACTGATTTGCATCTGCAATTCAATTAAAATCAATAATAAACATTTCAAAAAGGGGTCAATATGTTCTAATTTTTACTAAAAATCAAAAACTTATTTCTTAAAACAATTTACCATAATCTATGGTATATGACAATAGCTTAAAATCTAAAGTACAAAAAAAAAAAAGACAGCAGCATTTTGCTAAAGTGATTTCTTATTCGTCAGACTTTGGTGAATTATCTGTGCATCTCTGAAAAAAGGGTCACAGTTCTTTGTGGATCTGTCCTTTAGTCTAAAACAGGCTTTAAAAACAAAAACTAAAATCCAGCAAAACAGGGAAAAAAAAGGCATAAATGTTCCTTTAAGTGAGGCTGTCATCTTCACCCAATGCAAAAATATCCAAGTCACTACAGTGAAGACCTCTGCTTTTTGACTTGATTCGAATATCTTCATCTCCATTGGTGCTAGACTCTTGCCAGACTTGATTTGAATGCATGGAGGAACTGAAAATGGCAATGAAAATTAGGGTTAATGAGTTATTTGACAGTAAACAATTTTAAGCAAAAAGGTCTGATCTTTAATAATGCACAACTAGTAAACATAATTGTATTGCTTAAGCTGCAGGAACGGGAGAGGTTCTCTCGATAACATGCACCTGCAGTCTGGTATCAGACGGAGTGTTCGGTAAAGGTCTGTAGTGGATGGTGCAGCGGTGCTTCGTGAAGATTTAGGAGTGGAAAATGTAGTGTAGGTTGACGCCTTTGCCTTGTGAGCTTTCACTGACATCCTGATCTCTGGTTCACTTACTGTCATAAAGAACAATGAAGTTAAATTTGACTAGGTTTTGCATCAGAAATTTGCTTCCCTACAATGACTTACTGATTGACAAGGAGCTTTGACCGTCTGATGATGAGCATCTTCTGCGATTCGTGAAGGGAGTCATGTTTAAAAAGTGATTCTTGAACCAAGCAGCACGGTCTTCTTCGAAGGCCTGTTTCTATAGAGCACAAAAGGCATTGAATGAAGGCACATTATACGAGTGGAACTAATCTACGGGACTAAATAAGAAAAGCAGAACACCTCTCGGCCAAGGCGAATAGCAGCTTCTGTGAAGTTCCTTCTCTCTTTCTCAAAGTTTCTCTTCTGCTCCTCAAAAAGCCTCCATTCTTCTTTCAGGCGCTCCTTTTCCTCAAGCGTGTAACAGTCATAAAGAAGAGCTGCCGTCTCATCATCAAACGAGGTGCTGAGTTGTTGCTGAAACACCAAAAACAAATGGAGATGATTTATTTATGCCTGACAAAGTTCATTTTCTAAACTGATGAGTTCAGTGTGAGTAAAAATCTTGGCTAAGTTATCTTTTAATTTGCTGACATTTCATCTTCAGCCCAGTAGTTCCTGACCTGGAGAAGTTGCTGCTGTGCATGAATGAACTCTTTGCACTGCTGGACTTCATGTCTCATCCTCTCCATTTCATCCTGGTGAGTTTCAAAGGGAATCATATCTTTGTTGGACTCCATCTGATGCAGCACTTGAGAGGCTAACCCAACAAAAGGATCATCATTAGTGATTTACATTTTATACGAGCTCACTTTACATTAACCTAAATAAAGAATTTTGTCATTAAATCGCATAAAGAAATGCATTTAGCAGGATCGGCAGCACAAACCTTGGTTATCTAACTTCTCTACGTGGTTCCTGAGTTTCCTCCACTGCAGGCGGATGCTGTTGGTGAGCTGCTCCCTGGCATGCTCACAAGACTGATCCAGTGTGTCCCTGCTAGAGTCCCTTGTCTTTTCATCTTCATCTGATTCAGCCTGAAGGAAAAGAATAAAAAAAGTTTTAAACAGAATCTGAATATTTCACAAAAAGAGTAAACTAAATCATATTAAGTCGTTCTCTGGGAGGAAAAACAGCTCTGGTGCACCTGTCTGAGGACATAGAATTCTGATGAAGGAGAAAGTAGCTTCGGACGACAGGATTTAGAGTCGTATTTCCTGATATTCAAACATCTCTCCTCTGAATGGATAACAGCAACATGACTCAACCACTGACTCGCTTTGCTTTGCAGCTTTGATATTTAATCTCCACAATTAACACAAGCCTGGAGGAGTTCTGCTGTGTGGTGGGGTTGCTAATGCTAACTGTTAGATTCCAATAGACATGCTCCGGTCTGTCCTGGAAGCTGAACTAATAACAGCCTTCCTGTCGTGAGCCAAGATCAGCGAGTCCATGAATGTTACATGAGAGTGTGACGTAGATCTGTCGGGCTTTTCTAAACTGAGCATTTTCCGTCTATTTCCAATCAGAAGCTAATGCATACAGTGGGGCAAAAAAGTATTTAGTCAGCCACCGATTGCGCAAGTTAAAATGATGACAGAGGTCAGTAATTTTCATCATAGGTACACTTCAACTGTGAGACAGAATGTGAAAAAAAATCCATGAATTCACATGGCAGGATTTTTAAAGAATTTATTTGTAAATCAGGGTGGAAAATAAGTATTTGGTCAATAACAAAAATTTAACTCAATACTTTGTAACATAACCTTTGTTGGCAATAACAGAGGTCAAACGATTACTATAGGTCTTTACCAGGTTTGCACACACAGTAGCTGGTATTTTGGCCCATTCCTCCATGCAGATCTTCTCGAGAGCAGTGATGTTTTGGGGCTGTCGCCGAGCAACACGGACTTTCAACTCCCTCCACAGATTTTCTATGGGGTTGAGGTCTGGAGACTGGCTAGGCCACTCCAGGACTTACAAATGCTTCTTACGGAGCCACTCCTTTGTTGCCCGGGCGGTGTGTTTGGGATCATTGTCGTGTTGGAAGGCCCAGCCATGTTTCATCTTCAAAGCTCTCACTGATGGAAGGAGGTTTTGGCTCAGAATCTCGCGATACATGGCCCCATTCATTCTGTCCTTAACACGGATCAGTCGTCCCGTCCCCTTAGCAGAAAAACAGCCCCAAAGCATGATGTTCCCACCCCCATGCTTCACAGTAGGTATGGTGTTCTTGGGATGCAACTCAGTATTCTTCTTCCTCCAAACACGACGAGTTGAGTTTATACCAAAAAGTTCTACTTTGGTTTCATCTGACCACATGACATTCTCCCAATCCTCTGCTGTATCATCCATGTGCTCTCTGGCAAACTTCAGACGGATCTGGACATGCACTGGCTTCAGCAGCGGAACACGTCTGGCACTGCAGGATTTGATTCCCTGCCGTTGTAGTGTGTTACTGATGGTGACCTTTGTTACTGTGGTCCCAGCTCTCTGCAGGTCATTCACCAGCCCCCCCCCGTGTGGTTCTGGGATTCTTGCTCACTGTTCTCATGATCATTTTGACCCCACGGGAGATCGAGGGAGATTATCAGTGGTCTTGTATGTCTTCCATTTTCTGATAATTGCTCCCACAGTTGATTTTTTCACACCAAGCTGCTTGCCTATTGTAGATTCACACTTCCCAGTCTGGTGCAGGTCTACAATTCTTTTCCTGGTGTCCTTCGAAAGCTCTTTGGTCTTGGCCATAGTGGAGTTTGGAGTCTGACTGTTTGAGGCTGTGGACAGGTGTCTTTTATACGGATAATGTGTTCAAACAGGTGCCATTAATACAGGTAACGAGTGGAGGACAGAAAAGCTTCTTAAAGAAGACGTTACAGGTCTGTGAGAGCCAGAGATTTTCCTTGGTTGAAGTGACCAAATACTTATTTTCCACCCTGATTTACAAATAAATTCTTTAAAAATCCTGCCATGTGAATTCATGGATTTTTTTTCACATTCTGTCTCTCACAGTTGAAGTGTACCTATGATGAAGATTACTGACCTCTGTCATCATTTTAACTTGCGCAATCGGTGGCTGACTAAATACTTTTTTGCCCCACTATAGATAGGTGTAGGTGACTATTTTCACATTCAGCCTGCATGACAACTTCAGAGTAACAGATCATTTTCAAAGTTAATAAGTAAAAGATGGTTTCTCAGTGAACCTGCTGTTTAGATCAGAAGTTGTATGTACCTCCTTAATAAAAATGAAAGTGTGAAACTCGTGACCGGTTTTGTGAACATGCTTGGGTGAGATTTAGATTTGGAAAGTTATCCACCACACATAACAAGCTCTAATCATTTTTCCTTCATTCTTGATCTGCGTTTGTGTAACTACCAGCTCTTCATCAGCAGTGGCTCCTCTGGAAGAGGGCTGGCATGGACTCAGGATATGCATCATCTCCTTCTTCATCTGCTGGAGGACTTTTTTAAGCTCAGCGTTCTCCAGGACCAAGGATTTCTGACTCTCCTCATAGTCACAGAGTAAGAATTTGTACATCTCACCCTCGTGGCTGTGGACGGATGTGTTAGAAATCCATGAGTAATTAAAACATCACAATGTCCAACAAACCATGGGGTCTTTCATGGTACCTGGCTGTGGCTTTTGTCGTCCTCCATTGGCTCCTTTTTCCATCTGACCGTCCCAAGTTATTCAGCACATCAATAGCTTTTTGGAGTGTATGCAGAGCCAGAGTTTAATGGTTTTAAATGGGAAGAAATGAAGGTGCAAAGTAGGGCTGCTCGATTACGGCAAAAATGATAATCACAATTATTGTGACTGAAATTGAGATCAATTATTTAAGATGATTTTTCAATTATTGTTAATTTTATTAGTTTGTTTCTTTATTCAGTCATAAAATTGCTCAGGGTACAATCAGGACAAAAGTAAATAAGAAAAAGAAAGAAACAAGATGATCACTAAAACAACTCGTGAGACCTAGTATCTAAAGGCCAATATAATTGCTCATAATTTATGACCCAAAGGGCTGAGGTTTAACTCATTTAAGCCTGACCAGTACAGACCCAAATATCCATCCAGTATCTTGCAAATACTGCCAGCAAGAATCATACTGTTGCAATTATAACAATTAAAAAACATATAAACATTTGTTTTAGTTATGTTCACAAAATTTTGCATGATATTTATTTAGTCCTGTCAAGTGGTGCTGTAGAGGAGTGTACACTAGCAACATGTCCTCATAGACATTATTATTCATCAGCGAGGAACTTATTTCTATCCATTTCTACCTTGTTTATAAGCTATTTACTTACAGGTCCCATCAGTTAATGTAATAATTGTCCCAGCCACAGCGATCGAAGGTGTGCTGCAACCCCCCACCCAGTCTCACAGAAGGCAAGGGCAAGCTGCGCGTTTAGCGCGCCGCATGCACACATTTTGCCATTTTTAGCGGCTCAGGAGCCTGCAGGTACAGTGTGTGTCACTCACTGTGGTTAATTCAAGAGGGAGCCGGCTCCGAGAGCCGTTTCTTCTGTGACCAACATCACTACATCATTTCTTTTCTTAATGTCCAGAAGGACCAGGCAGAGTGTTTTGCTAACGTGCAGGAAATGCCGACGACAGTTATCCAGAAAGTAGCCAAGGGTTATCAGAAATGTTTCTGGGTTTGTCACTGGGTACTTTTAAGATTTAAAAAAAGTCAAGAAGGGGGTCTGAAAAGCTGTTGGAAATTGCAAAAAAGTCGCCAAGTTGGCAACACTGTGGGAGGAGCGCTTGATATGCAACTTGGAGCAGAGCAAGAGGGAGGAGCAAATTATCGGCTTGTTTGGTTTTTATAATCTTTCAAGACTCAATTCGTAATTGGGATTAAAATTGGATTAATTGGGCAGCCCTAGTGCAAAGAACAATAATTACATGATGTTTAGATGTAGGCGAGCAGATTTACCTAGTTTCTTATCCTTTCTGTCAATCAGTAGCTGACTGAGGCGTTCCTTCAGCTTTGCAGCCTCTCTTTCTTTTCTCTTTGCATCATGGCTGTACTGAGATGCCCGGCTGGCGATGATGCTTTGGAGCTTCTGAACCTGCCCGAGGTCAAGACAGACAAACTGGTCAGGCTCTTGCATCCTCAAATGAAAATACACAAGCTGCTTTTTACAACAGACTGGAGGGAAAAGCTTCACCTCATCCTTTTCGCCTTTTAAGCAACGCTGCAGAGTCTTAAGTTTAAGTTGCAGCTGCCTCTCGGTCTCATACAGACCCGACTTCTCCCTTATGGACAGCTCCAGCTGGTCCTGGAGGGGAAAACACATCAGCAAGTTTAAAAAATCTTCTGTTGCAACTTAAACACAATCTTGAATTTAAAAGTATTGCTTGCTTGCCTTGAGTCTGGAGTTAGTCATCTGAATGAGATCTAAAGAACTTGATTTCTTCATCTGTTCTTTCTCCATCTCCTCTAAAGTGCACATGTCTCGTCTGTGAATTTGTAGCAGCTCATAGACTGCGTTCAGAACTGGCACTGCATTCAGGTTAGCTCCCTCTGGAGAGCTGGCCTCGATGCACACAGGGAGGCCAAGTGACGCAAGCTCCTGTGAAAGAAAGGACTTTAGGTTGTACTTTATAGTGCAAAACAAAGCAATCTGAAAAAAAGAAGTACAAAATCAATCATTGCACATTGTTACAACACAAGTAAATATCAGACTGGATCATTTCCATACCTGATTGATGTGTAACAAACACTGAGGGACATTATCCTCTGTGCAGAAGGCACCGATTACACTGTAGGTGGATAAAGAGTATGCCAACTCAAGATTGCTCTGTCTTGAGGGGGACATCATCACATGTGACATTCTTGAGATCTCGTTGTTTTCTGGGAACAACAACAACAAAAAATCTGATTATAGTAACTGCCGCTGACACACTGATGCCATAGTTCTTTTTCATGCTGAGGCTTGAATTGGGTTGCTCCTTCAAACGAGAACAAAAATGTGGGTCACCTCAGATCCCAGAAAGATGATAGGTGTTTCTATTCTGGAAATGCACCAGAAAACCCACCCCCATTAGAGAAAAATACCCATGGATGTCTCAGTCGTCCACCTCTCTCCCATATCACCGAAACATCAGGACAGCGAGCTGTGAGGTCACAAGTTGTCAGAAGGGAGGCGGATTAACAGTCAGGAGGTTGAATCAGAAGATCCCGCTGAAAGGGAGTCCTGCAATGATACATCAAGCCATGATATTCGCCATCGATAAGCTGGTCTGATGCTTCAACAGCACAGGATCAGGGGTTAAACTGACCCATCATCCACTTGCATTTTAATGGCAGTGCAGGGATATGACATCATCGGGAGAGGATTTGAAATCCAATATAGGTTTTTTATTTATCAATTTTTTGGATTCAGGACTAATACAATCACCTACTCTTGTCAATCAGGCTGCACCAGAATCATGAGGCACTCCCATTGCAACACAGTTTAACTGATTAGTGTTTAGGGATATTTAAAAATTAGGGACATTGGACCAAAGATGGATCAGATTCAACACTTGCTAATTAACTCTAACTTAGACTTCCTGGCTCTGAGTGAATCTTGGTTGAATAACAATGTGTCGACTCACATAATTAATGTCCCTGGAGACGTTGTAGAGCGGGTACCAGTAAAAATTGAGTTCGGAAGAGAGCGGCTGCGGAAGGCGGGGGCGGAGCGGAGGTAGTGGAATTTGGGGGTTAGACCAACCTCAACTGCTTCAGTCTGAGAAGACCATGTTTACTTGTAAAAGCTGCCCAGTTGTACCTGCATGCCATGATTCTGTCTCACCTTTCTTACTGTGTATCTGTTTGGAGTCAAGCAACCCAGTCTGTTTTAAAACCTGTCATGTGTCTGTACAAACAAGCCTTAAAAGTTCTGGACCAAAAAAACCAATGAAATGGCACTACTGTAAAATGCAGGAGAAGTACAATCTGCTAAGTTTTGAAAACTTTATAAACCTTTCTGTCATAAGACTGACACTCAAATGTATAAATGGCCTTGTCCCAGAGCTGGTGAGCAGACTGATTATAAAAGCACAGGAGCTACAACCAGAGGAGTAGCCAACAGAGACTGTAAACCACCGAAATACAAAACATCATTTGGTCAATCCTCTTTCTCATTTAGATCTGGTCAATCTACCATCAACAATAAAACTGTTAACACACTTTACAACTTTTAACTCCCAGGTGAAAAAATGGCTGAAACGAAAACAAACTTGTCAACACTGATGTTTCTTTGTCAAACTAGTTTATCTACAGTGTGTGTGTGTGTGTGTGTGTGTGTGTGTGTGTGTGTGTGTGATGACAAATGTTATAAATGCTATCATTTGATTATATCTAGAAGTCCAACCAAGGACTAGGTTTGCAAATTAGCCTCTGGCTAGCTAGAAAACCGATGTACAAAACAACGGTTGCATTGCCCTTACATGTAACATCTTTTGTGCTGTCCTTGTTCAATAAACCAAATAAATAAATAAAATAGTGTTCTTGAACTAATGGAATTTTTTTACAAGCTGTAATGCACTGGAAAATATAGGATAAGGTCACTGAGAGCTACTAGTGCCAGAAAAACAGGCAGCTTTTATCTTTACTTGCATTGAAGCGGTGATAAGTGTTTATTTACGAAACAAAACTGGTGGACTACAGCTTTAAATTAACTGCACGTGCGGAAATGTAACGTAAAATAAACGACTGGAAACGTTTACCACATTTAAGCTAGCTCTTATGGTAAAACTTTAAACCTGTGCGCAAGTTTATGGCAGTAAGGTAAAGTGACGCCACTTTATACATGGGACAAGCCACGCTTCGCAGTTTATACATTTATATCTGTGTGGGAAAAAAAACCCGAACTCTCTTTACTTTTTTTAAGAAGATTAGCTAACCTAACTCACACAAACACAGATGCTAATTCACGAGATAAACATGCTCACCAAAAAGCTTGAAATGGGTCATCCAAAAACAGTTTCCAAGTTCGGTGGAGAACGTGTAATTTGAAAAAGATCCCCTTAGGTCGTTAAAAACAACCGAGCTCAGCTGTCATCATGGCAGCAGTAAACTCTACAGAACAGCACTTTAACTCAGCCAGGCAGACATGATAACAACCGACAGGTTCACAGAGACGCTCTGCTGCTGTTTCCTTTTGAAGCCCATTCTTTTGCGATAGTCCAACCAAACTGACGTGTTATAGGAGGAGACGTTAAGCAACCAGTACGTCCGACGCATTGGACGTGACGCGTTGAGTGCAAAATCAAATTATGCAGAAAGGATGTCAGCTGTTTCATAGCAGAGTAGTGCGCCCCCTGGCAGTAAGTAGTAATATTGCAGCATACAACAACAACATACTCATAAAGGCACAACTAGTGTTTATTTATAATAAAACATCAAATATATTAAAAATACAATAATATTTTAACTAAAAAACACATGGAGTACAAATAGTCATTTTAACCATTTGTGATCGCTTTAGTTGGTATAATATAGAGGTAGAATGGATAAATATGCACAAGACAAAGTAGAGGAAGTCTCAAAAAAGAAAAATGAAAGACAGAAATAGTCACAGCATGCACTCAAAATGCGATCTGTTTTGTCAATAAATGTCAGCATGAAAATAATAAACAGCAAAAAAAATAAACATCAAAATATACATTTGCAAGTTATGATACATTTTGAGATATATTCCTATAAATAGAAGAAGAAGAAGAAGAAGAAGAAGAAGAAGAAGAAGAAGAAGAAGAAGAAGAAGAAGAAATATCATTTCTATAGCGCCTCTCAAGATAAAAATCATGAGGCGCTTCACAAAAACAAAACACATGTAAAAATATAAAAAAGAATTTAGAAAATGGTTAAAATATATTTAAAATGAGCAAAAAATAGTCAATTGTGATTAAAAAATGTTAATAAAGAGAGAGAGAGAGTGAATAGGAAAGAGGGAAATCAGTGGATCCTGAGGAAGGTGGAATAGGTGGGTAGAGCAGAATAAAGAGAGAGTGGTGAAGAAGGTCATACAAAAGCCAGCTTGAACAAGTGAGTCTTCAGCTGCTTTTTAAAGGAGACCACTGAGTCCACTGATCTCAGGCTCAGGGGGAGAGAGTTCCAGAGTCTGGGGGCCACAGCAGCAAATGATCTGTCACCTTTGGTCTTTAGCCTGGTGCTGCACAACCAGTAGGCTTTGGTCACTGGACCTCAGGGACCTGCTGTGGGTGTAGGGACTAAGAAGATCACCAATGTAAGATGGTGCTTGTCCATGTAAGGCCCTATAGACCAGAACCAGGATCTTGAAATGAACCCTGAAGTTGACTGGCAGCCAATGAAGCTTGAGGAGAAGCGGGGTGATGTGGGTGTGTTTGGAGGATTTGGTCATAAGCCGAGCACAGGCATTCTGAACCACCTGTAGACGGTTCAGGGAGGTTCTGCTCAGACACGTGAAAAGAGAGTTACAGTAGTCTAAGCGTGAGGAGATGAAGGTGTGGATAACTGTCTCAAGTTCAGAGCGGGACAGAATGGGACTCAGCTTAGCAATGTTCCTGAGATGGAAGAAGGAAGAGCGAACAAGAGAACTGACATGAGAATCCAGGTTGAGAGCTGGGTCAAAGGTCACGCCAAGATTCCTGACGGAAGGTTTGGTGTGAGAAGCAAGCTGACCAAGAGAGTCTCTGACTTTGGGAACCAGCTTGTCTGGGGCACAGATGAGGATCTCAGTCTTATCTTCATTCAGCTGAAGAAAGCTCCCAGCCATCCAGGTTTTGATAGAGTCTAAGCAGGTGTGTAACAGCTGCAGCTTAGGCATCTCATGGGGCTTAACGGAGATGTACAGTTGGATGTCATCTGCAAAAAGATGGTAGGAGATTTCTTTGAATGAGCTCAGGATGTGCTGAAGAGGAAGCAGATAGAGGAGGAAGAGCAGAGGCCCCAGCACAGAACCTTGTGGGACACCATGGGTAAGGGAGGTGGTGGAGGACCTAAACTTGGAGACGGCCACAGAAAAAGAGCGCTCAGAGAGATAAGAGGAGAACCACTCCAGAGCAGATCCTGATAGGCCTACCCAGTCTCTCAGCCTCTCCAGTAGCAGGTGATGGTCAACAGTGTCAAAGGCTGCGGTCAGGTCCAGCAGGACCAGAACAGAACAGTCCCCTGCATCACTGTGAGTCAGAAGGTCATTAGAGACCCTAAGAAGAGCTGTTTCAGTAGAATGAGCTCTACAAAAACCTGACTGGAAGCTATCATAGATGTTATGTTCATCAAGAGCAGCTGTGAGTTGTTTAGCCACAACCTTTTCCAAGATCTTGGAGATGAACGGAAGTTTAGAGATGGGTCTGAAACTGCTATGGAGAGAGGGGTCGAGACTCGGTTTTTTAAGAAGCGGGTGGATTACAGCATTCTTAAAGTAAGCAGGGACCTGACTAGAAACCAGAGAAGCATTAATTATGGAGAGCACGCTGGGACCGATGGACTGAAAAGTACTTTTAAACAAAGATGAGGGTAAGATGTCGAGGGGGCATGCAGAGGTCTTCATAGAGTTAACTAGTTTGGTTAACTCAGGCAAAGAAACAGGAGCAAAGCTATCTAGGATGATGGGCCTGGTTGGACTCCAACCAGGCCCATCATCATCCTAGTTAAGTAATCCAACATGGTTTTTTACTCAAGTGCATACAGAAAAACATGAATCTTTCCATATTATTGTGAATCTGGGGAGAATTTTTCTTAAATTCTAGAAATAGTGACTAGAAAAATCATTAAAAACGCTGCTTTTAATTTTGCAAAATCAATTTGCTGCAACAATTTTTTGAACATTAAATGAAACTAAAGTACAAACACTTTTTTCTTGACATTTACAAACATTCATGCATTCAATCAAGTGTTCCAGATAGACTATTGAGACATTTAAAATGAGTCCCATGACTTTGACCACTTTTGCATGCTTTTTGTAGATGCTACCTCCTTTAGTTTCTTTTAAAACACTCCCATAAAGATCCACAGCAGGTCAAAGGCTCTTCATCAGTCTGGAATCTTCCAGACTCCGGTTGATCTCTGCACTCAGCTATGAAGGCCTGGAGCAGGGACTCTGGCTCGGTGTCCTTTTGGTTTTGCTGAAGAATAAAATTAAAGACATTAATTAAAAGAAAACATTTAAATATATCTGTATCATCAGGTCATCAGGCTGACCTTGATGGTTTCATAGGTGTCTGTGATGAGAGCGATGAACAGGCTGAGCACCATGTAGATGAAGAGCGAGATGAAGGTGTAGAGGTAGAGTCTGCTGAAGAGCCACACCATGTAGCTCTTGTCTCTCATCCTCAGGAACGTGCCAAACATGTCGTCCCCATTGATGAGAGAGAAGAGACACTCAGTCACTTTGTCGAGGGTTCGAAACTGGAAAAGAATAAAATAAACTTTATTTTAAGTCAATTCAGATGGAGAACACAGAGATTCTATACCTTGTCATGATAAGGTCCCAGTACAATCCAGCCACAGAAACAGTAGCCGAGATAGATCATGGTGGCACAACAGCAAAAACGAATCACGTTTGGAAACGCTGCCCTCAGAGTTAAGATTAAGACCTGAAAAGAAACGCATTAACTCAATTTCACCAGAGATGTGTCTGCTCTGTGTGATGCTTAGACGTCCTTACATTGTATTTCTTGAAGAAACCAAGGTAGCGGATGACACCAATCCAAACGAGCATCGTGGCCGTTCCCAGCAAAATACTACAGACATCATAGCTGGTCAGGAACTACAAATAGAACATAATTAAACTACAAGCTTAAAAAGTCAAGAATACTTTGTTCTGATTTCAACTTATTTATGCAGATATGTTTGCCTTAAATGATAGCCTCAATCCTACTTAACAACAAATGAAAATCAAAGTAAAACAAACCTTTGTTTGAATTCCAACTTTCAGCATTGACCCTGTGATGGTTAATATGTCGCTAATGATGATAAAAATATACCAGCCGTTCACAAACTCCATGCGGTCTGACCACGTCACAATCTTACTGTAGTAGGCATGGAAGAAAATGTTGAACTCCTGCAGATACAAGGATATGAACGTGGTGTCGAACTCCGCAGCAAAGCAACCACACAACTCATTCATGACCTATGCTGCTAATCTTTCTAAAAATGTAGATGTCTTTTACTTTTCTTTTTTTCTTGAGGTGTAAAAGGAAAAATGCAAATCAATCAAAGGTTGAAAAGCACTGCTGAGAGACAAAAGCAGACAGGACACACACACTAGGTGCATAAATATAGCAAATTAGAACTGTATGTTTACAAAAAACAAAATAATCATACAAAAATAATGATAAAACCAGTGAAAATATTCACTAAAGAATAAATCATTGGTGCAAAAAAGCTGCAGAGTGATAAATGGTTCCACAAATTACAATGATCGAGGCTCAAAAAAGACCAGAAATAAGTTTTATTTTAATAAAACCTGATGATTAGACATGAAAAGCAACAGCAGATGTAAAAAGAAAATCATCAGTCATATTTTTCCTTCTAGGTAAAATACTCAAAATGCATGCCTTAACTTACAAATTGGAGCTGGATTCCGCGGATGACAGATCGAGTGCAAAGGATGAAAGAAGCGAAGCAGGCGAGGATGACCACAAAATCAAACAACAGGAGGAGATAATCAGTCTTCGAAGCTGGAAACCAGAACCACAGATTTCAGGTAAAAAAAATTTGTTCTGCTGTTTTGCACAAAATTACAATATTCTTAATTTATTATGCAGATTAATCATGAAGATAAATGTGAATCTCTAAAAATCTTTATTCAAACTTGGCATGTTTAAAGGGGACATATGAAATTTTCTCTGAAGTTATAATAGTTCTGTGGTTGATACAAAACATGCTCATGAAGTTCTTTGCACAAAATCCCTTTCAAATAGTTATTTCAGCATTTTTCTTCCTGACGGTTTCAGTACTTTCCTGAATAAGCTGTTTCAGGACTGTTACTTTAAGAAAACAAGCTGGAGATGGCCACACCCACCCATCCCCCACTCAGGCTACTATTGGGCCATTCCCACCTGTACCGGGTCGGCCCGGGCCGGGTAGCGTAGGTTGTTTACATATCTGGGTGGCCTGGAATTTTCCCGGGCCAACCAAGGCTCATTCTCGGCCCTCTTCCCGAGGGGTACTGCTTCAGGCCGACCAGGGCCAACACACCCACTGCTGACAGCAAATTCACACCTTCCATTAGAGCAAGCCTCTGATTGGTGGGTAGAATCAGCCCACATGGGCTTAAGGCAAGGATGTGTGGAATCAACCGGGCCAGGCTGGGGCCGACTGGGGCTACCCGGCCCGGGCCAACCCGGTACAGATGGGAATGGCCCATATGAGCTGTGAAGCATAGATATGTATATAAACACTAGATGGCGAAAGCGGGAGTCGAGGGCATAGCTAAATGGCGGCCATCTTACCTCAGACAACAAACCCCTCTGCTCTCAATGGTAGCAGCTGAAAGGTGAGCGATCAGCTTAAACAAAAACACCCTTAACTCGATGAAATATTTAAGGATTTACAAGCAGGTTGCCTTATTACAAACCTCAGAACACATGGGCTTGAGACAACATAATTGCACATGTTCAAAGTAACGCTTTTACTTTTGAAAGTGGCTTAATTGTGAACCATGTGTCCTGTCTAGGCTATCTGCATGTTATTCAGGTTGAGACCACAATCGATATTTTATGTGGTTCTACAAAACCAATAACAACTTTATGACAGCCCAGTTGTTGTCTAAATGGCTGTTTGTGGACGTTTTTGTATTTATTAGCTGTCTAACTTGGCTTAGAGATGACAAGGGATACAGTGGGTACACTGCTTAGCAAAACAAAGTTGACTATTTACGTCAGTGGGAGTCGCTTGTTTTATTTTAAGTAAATTAATGCTAAATATTACCCGTAATTTTTAAGCATTTTTGGTTTGTTACACAAAACTTATATTGGGATATATTAAAAAAAGACATTTTTGGATTTGTGTTTGCAGAAATACACTTTTATTAATTGTGAAGCTCGAGGGTCAATATGCCTGACTTTCATGCAGCCTACGGATGCTCGAACCGCCGCTGTGACAAACTGAGACAACGTGGGATCACCTGTCATCTGTAACTGTTGCAAAGAAAACCTATACTTGTACATTTTTCAGTCTGTTAATTGTTTTTATGTAAATAAAATAGTTTTAAACTGTTGTTCCATTGCTGCTGCTACTTCCTTCTATACATTTATCTGGTTTTATGAATGTTGAAAATCTCCTTCACAAGATGAATCCATCATCCATCTATCTTATTTATTACTGTAATCCCTGTGCCCCTTTGTTCCCCAGCCCCTCCAGTTCCCACTCCAGGTTCTCCTTTTGTGTTTCATAGCGCCCTCGTATGTCCTTTGTCTGCATCTCATTTATGTGTCTCCTGTGTTCCTTTAGTCTTCTCCAGTCACCCCTCTGCAGCCAGTCACCCCTCTGCAGTGTTTATAGTTTCAGCTTTTCATTTTTATGAGTCTCTTTAATATGTTTTGTCCCACCGGTTTTAGTAGTTCTCCTTCCCTTTAGAATTTTAGTTATATGGTTGCTTTTCTGTTTTTAGGTTCACTCTTAGGCCATGTTAGTTTCTTCCCTGATTAGTCATTGCTTTCACCTGGTTCTCTCTCTCCCCCCCCCCCCCCCACCCACTCCACACACCTGCAGCTCATCTGCCTCCCATTATGCCCCAGTGTATTTAAGCCCTGTCTTGTCTCTGTGTCTTGTCGGTCCATTGTCGTTGTCAGTGTTATTTTGGCCGTCTCGTGTGTTCTGATCTTGCTCATGAAAGAGCTTCTGTTTTGCCAGCATTTGCCTTTGGATTTATGCCCAGCCTTCTAAAACAAACGGATTCTTACTTCATATCCACTTCTGCCTCGTGTCATCCTGGGTTACTGCATTTTGGGTCCAAACCATCCTCTCAACGTGACATCGTATTTATTAACCTAATCTATCTGTTGATTATTTCCTAACTTTTTCAGAAAGCACTTCCAAAGGGCTTATAATTAATAAATGAAAGTCAATAAATAAGAAAACAAAAGTTAAGAAATAGTGAAAATACAACATTTGCTGGGTGAAATTTTATTGCTGGCGGGCCGGTTCTGGCTGACATATGTGATTTGGGTGTCAGTTGTCTTATTTGTTGGGGTGCACAATTTGTATCTGTGTTCTGTTAATGTGGGCTTTACCTCAAAAGAACCTTGAAATCTCATCTCTAAACAAATCCTATTTCACAAACCAGGAATATATATATATATATATATATATATATATATATATATATATAGATCTATATAATATAATAGGCTATGCATACTTTAAATTACTGTAGTTTACAACTAAATGTATTATTTATGAAAGATTAAATGCTTTGTGGAGTGAAATAACAGGAATTGCTGGGCCAAACCCATCCTATTTCATAGACACATCTCTGGTGTTAATAACAAATCGAACCTTTTGAAAATCAGTTGAAAATTGAGCAAGTTAGTTATTTAAATAGTACATGCACCATTCACCCCAATGTCAAAAAAGGGGGCAGCTGTCTGAGGTAAGATGGCCGCCACGTTCTTATGTCGCATCCCATTGGCAAACAGCGGGGACGAGCCATCTAGTGTTTATATACATATCTATGCTGTAAAGAGCCAATATCTGGGAGGGGCTCAGGTTAGAGCCACTGCTCTCCAGTAGCAGCTCTTTTTGCATGTAAGAGGAAGTTCTGCTCATATTTACCTATTTGTGACATCACAAACGGGGGCTTTTTTTAAACAGCTTGTTTTAGGCACTTAATTCTTAAATCTAAACACTGACAGAAAACATATAAATATATTTTCAAGTTTGGAGTGTTTAAAGAGGCAGTAGAGACCCGAACGGACGCACAAAAGAATGCAAAAGGTGAGTTTTGCCTAATATGTCCCCTTTAAGTAACATTTTGAGTTTGTATCTTGTATGAAAACAAGTAAAAACTTACAGTTGCCGGCCACATTCCAGTCTCTGCATTCATAGATGCTTACGTCATTATCAACCATGATATTTATTTTCCCGCTGTGTGCATGATTGTCAAATATTATCTGTGTAAAAACACAGAAACATTATTATGCATTCAGAAATTATAAAATGTGTTTATTATTTTGGATAATTCATAATAAAAAAAGGCAACATGTTAAAAGTATGCACAGATGATGACATATTTGTTTTATTTCTATCCAAATAAACATTTTTGTGCTTTGGCATGATAATAAATTATTGATTACCCTGCATTTGAATCCTGCAACATGCTACAGTAAAATTAATGGCTGCAAAGTAATTTTTCAATAAACGTGAACAAAAAACATCAAAACGGTTTAAGAGAATTCCCTTATTTCTTCCCTCACATATCAACACCAGTGTCTAAATCCATGGGTGAAAAGTCTCAACACATTTTTTCCTGATGTGTTGTTATAAAAGGCCCGCTGAAGGTGTGGCTGTTTACAGATAATGGTCACTGACCATGACGTGAAAGCCGTAACAGTCGGGTAGCTCATGGTGCCTCACAGTCTGCAGATTGATGGTTTTTAGTGTAAAGGTGATGTTTACTGATAATAACCTACACACAGAGACATGAATCAGCGTAAAAACAAGAGTATCACCTGGTTTTCAATCCAACGTTTGGGGTTTGTAGCTTACCTTTTGAAATCTAAAGAGAAATTGAGTTTTGTTTCTAAGCTACTGTCCAACGACGGCTCAGGGTTGATGGAAATACAATCTAAGAGGTGGAAGGAGTGAGAAACAAGCTGTGTTATTAGGTCTTAGCAGCAAGGAGGGGGAATAATTCATGATGAATCTCCCTAAATGTGGCTGTTTCCTCTTTTGCCATCACATGGAGCTCCACATTATGATTATTTTCCACGCTTGCCTGTGAATCAGCAGTTATAAGTGTCTGTTTGAGGTCGGGCTTTCGTACCTTTATCAATCTGTGGATCAATGTCAAAGGTATCTCTTCCAGGATCGATGGTGACATTTTTGTAAAACCTTTGGCAGATGGACAAAGGCGTGTAATCGTCTTCGTCCATCTCATATGCAAGGTTACCTAAGGTCAGGTTTTGGAGGTTCATGTACTGAAAGAAAGGAGGGACATATTGTTTTGTAAGTTTAGAAAAACACCAAACGCCTGAAGCTTTCTGTGTTTTTTTCGTACTCTGTCGATGATGTAGTAGATGTGCTCGTACACTTCTGTTTTAGTGTAAAGTGCAAAGCTTCCCTGCTGGTGATCCTTGTATCCTTTCAGGAAAAGATGTCTGAACGTCATTAGATTGTCCTCCTTAAACGTGGCCATCATTTCGTTGCTCAGGCCAAAAGAAACCAACTGATTAGAGAATTAGAGGAATCACCATGAGATAAAAAAACAAACTAATCTTAGCACATTTACGCTCAATAAGAAACCAAAGGATTCACCTGGGCAGTGATGAGCACGATCTTTAGTATCTGCAGCATCAGTTTCCATGGTTTCCGACCCCTGGCTCTGTACTTCTCACAGGGATTCATGAAGAAGTACTTCAGCTTCCGTCTGAAATTCTCAACAGCCTTTGTGTCCAAAGCATGAGTGGTCCATCTGCAGTGGCCGTTCAGCCTCCTCTCCTCACCCAGCAGAGGCTCAGATTCCTCCATTAAGCTCGGGAGAGAAAAACAAAACTTTTTTTTTTTTACCACTTTTCAGAAGACAAGTGAAGGCTCACTGCAAATCAGAAATCTTTACAACAAAAGGAACACATTCAGACATTTAGATGTTAATCAAACTGGTTGACCTGCATGTGTGTGCAACAGCCATTTACCTCTCCTGCAGGTTTAAATGTAATCATTAGGAGCTCAGCAGTTGTTCAAAATGTACTTTAAAACATTAAAAACCACCATTTACTACTTCCTTCATGATACTGTAGCTAGATTCAGCAAAGAGAACAAACGAGAAAGGAAATACTAAGATTGATGTGGATCATTAAAGAATAATTTAATTAACATGTAATGAGAAATAACGTCAAATTCACCAAGAATTGTGACAGAAAGCAAGGATAAAAACCACAAGCATCATGTGTTTGCATCATATGTTGTGTTAATTTATTCTTTCACAAACTACTGTTAACAGCACATGAAATCCCATCAGCACCCATAAATAATGTTTTCTTTATAAGGAGTGAGTTACCTGCTAACACCTGAAGAGCAGAGCGTTCATCCACCTCTCAGGGCTTCTGTGTGGTTTCTGAAGAGCAGGTGGCTCCCTCCGACAGTCTTAACCGCTTTGACTGTCATTCCTCTGTGTCACTGTAGGCTTTTCCAGTTTTTCCAAAACAAAAAGTGAGCTTATGGTTAAACAGTTCACACACGGAGAAGCTGACTGTAAACAGCAGGGAAGCTTCTGTTCCTCCAAAATCACATTTTAACATCTTTTAATAAACTATCATTACATACTATTGAATATGAAGTTTATCAGGCAGATTCAAATGTAAACAACAGCAGCAGCAGACACCTCTGAGCACGTATTTCACTGGTGGAAAGAATCAAACATTAGAAAAAGACAATTAAACAGGGAGTGAAAGAGAAAACATGCAGCAGGTGGTGTTTTTGTGTTTTTTACTTACACATTATTTATTTTATTTTCTATTGAACCATTTAATCAATATTTCAAGGAATGTCTGACAGAAAACAGCATTATCAGCTCTAAAACATATATTTTTGAGCATTTTTTTTAATAGATGATTGTTGTTTTTGGCAGCTGATGTTTGTTTTAAATCGTTTCAAGACCCCCTACAAGGTTTTTCATGACTCAATGAGGGGTCACGACCCCATCTCTGCTCTAAATTACAGAAATTCTTCAAAATAACACAAAAAATCTTTATCAGTAAACAAACAGACACCAAATAACTCCATTTAAGAAATCAATTTGCAAAAGCATGTGATCATCTGGTGGTTTTTGTTCATCTCGTTTTTCCTCATTTAGCCTTTTTCACCTGGTTGTCTCACCTGCGCACGGCTAGAACCTGCCCTCAGTTTCTGCCTTTGACTGGTGTGATCCAGAGCTATGTTCTTGTTTAGTGTCGGACCACGTTCCTGTCCCTGGATGTGACGTGGTTCAGCCCAGAACAGATCCCTACAGCCTTCCAGGGAATCAGCTCCGCCTCGTGACCACCGATTCTCACCACGACATGATAGTAGTAGTATCCCTACTTCTGCTTCCGCGTGAATGACCCCTGCTGAAAAAAAGATCACATATTTGGATTTTGGATTATGGATTTTTTTAGTCTTTCACAGTCTGCGACACCCTCTGAGAGGAGGAGCACGTTCCCCATGTTCTGAACTTTGATTTCTGTTTAATAAAACTCATTTCCTGTTCACACTCTGAATTGCAGGGTCTTCAGAGTTATTCAACACAAAGAAAATGTTCTATAAAGATCAATCAAGCAGAAAACACAAAATATCCTAAAGCAAAAGCACCATGTAACAAAACTGTTTTCTTATACCCTTCTTAGGGTGACCCCACCTTTTGTCCGATGGAGATCCTACTGAGGAATGAGTTGAGATGAGTGAGTTTTTGGAACTTTGCATTTTGTGAAATGACGTGTTTTCTGTTCTGTTGCATTTCCTGAAACTGATATTACTTTCTAAGGGTGAAGAGTTGAGTTCCCAACCATCTCTCTCTCTCACACACACATGCGCGCACGCACGCACGCACGCACACACACACACACACACACACACACACACACACACACACACACACACACACACACACACACACACACACACACACACACACACACACACACACACACGGCTGGACTGGGATAAAATAAAGCAGCTCGGGCATTCTGAGCCGAGACCGGCCCACCAGCTATTGAAGTAAAAACAATAAAGCTTAATTTTTTTTACATTAGCTCTCTAACTCTGGTCCTTGATATTCCATATTCATTATGTTTTGGTTGTTTCCTTGCTCCAGCACAAAAAACTTTAATTTGCTGCTTAAAACTGCTGTCCAGAGTATTCCCCTTTCAGGAATTATGTATGATTTTTTCAGACATCTATAAAGGTGATTTACTTTTATCCCATACTGTGATATGATGTAGGAAATTCATCTTTTGTTTTTTGCTAAGCCCACCCTTTGTCCCATAAAGCTCAGTGCAATATGAACTGAGCGCCAGCAATGTGAGAATACCGCTTACGTATAGATGGCGACCTTTCTCATGGACAAGTAAGTCTTTAAAATATAAATATATGAAAAGATAACATGAGCATGACAATTGTTAAACAATGTGTTTTACCTCTGTTTTGTCTGCTAGAGGATTGCAGTCATGAACGAGAGGCATTGCTTTTGGCCATAAATATGGAAATGAAGAGTAGGTCATGGTGTGATATGCTGGTGCCACCAGATGAAAGAAAAATATGGACAACTACTTTAATGCAAAAACACAACACAACAAAGATCAGAATACCAAACAAAACCACTGCATAGCTGCTCGTTCTAAGTGAAGTAAGAAAAACAGTAAAGCAAAATATAAAACTTGTCAGAAAACTAAGTTGCCATGTATGGCCTAAAGATCATTTACACCCCAACCCACCCACCCACCCATACACACACACACACACACACACACACACACACACACACACACACACACACACACACACTACCTAAAACTGTAGTGTTGCACCAACTTCAGGTAAAAACTGCACTATATTTGAATTTAAATCTGCAATCACTATTGGCTAAGAGGTACACTATGATGTTGGCTGGTACATTATGATGTCACAATGTCGTGAGCCTGTGTGTGTTAGCAGCTCTGCCCTCTTGGTGTGCCAGGCAACAGCATTTGTTGCATTTTTCAGAAAGGAAGTGGGAGGTGGAGTAAGACTCTGAAAGGAGGTGACTTGCCCTTTAATTTGTAAGTTTTACTTTACAGTAAAAACAACCAGTGAATAACCAACAAAAAGGAGAATACAGTTTGGATTTCACATCAATTCTGTGATTCAAAACTTGTAGTGAAAAAGTGGGAGGCAATGTCTTGTTCACTTACTGTAATGCAATAAAAAACAAAACACAAAAACAGTTTGGAGTCTGGTACAGAACTAATTCGGTCGTTCCAGTGTGAAAACTACGACTAAACCGTAGCGGTTATCACCCAACAGTCCAACGATTCATGAAGAAATCACACGTTTAGTTAGAGAAGTAAAAAGCAGAACTAGTCTGAGGTGATATCAGAATGTCCAAACTTACAACACGCCGTTAAATGAAACTAAAAATGATCATACTGATACTCTTCATGACATAATGTCTATAAAATATTCTTTTTACATAGTTACTTTATTCAGGCCCAGTTTCTGCACATCTGCTTACACTGAAAGGTAAAAAAATACATATTTATGGTTTTTAAAGACCAAAGTATTATTTTTGCTCTAAATAAAAACAACGTAACAAGTTGGCACCAATTTCAAAAGACATCAAATGGGGATAATTTGGCCCTTTTTAATTGTGTTTTTGCATAAATAATTACCATCTCACTTCCGGTAGAAAGCTTCCTTAATGAGCTTTGTTTGAAGAAATAGATTCTGTTGGCTAGTTCTATCAATTTTGTGTTATGGTTATTTTTGAAAAAACTAAAATAAAATTAAAAAAAATTCCAGCCAAACTTCACCGACTGCCTCAGAAGTGCTACCTTTTGCTGGTGCTGGTACTATTCATGCTTGTAACAAACGGAGTATCTGAACTGGGGTATGTACTTGTATAGGCCTGAAGGTTCGCTGAACGGGGCTTGTGGTTATCTCAAGCTGATTGGAGTAGGAAATGACATCTGCACACGTCGCCAAAACAACCGGAATTTATAAAAGCAAGATTTGCTGGTGAAGCAGATGAAAAGGAAAATAGTAAACAACATTCACACCGCTTTATAAACGTTGTTTCTAAAGTCTTAACACTGAAAAAAGTGATGAAAATCCCCCGAACAACGTAATTCACGGCGCTTTGTGGTTTAACAGTGCAATGCAAAAAACTGTTTCTTCTGATAACTGAATGACACAATCTACAGGGTACTTTGGCACAATAAAATTCGTAATTTATTATTCTTATTGTCCGTGGACACCTTTTGGTGCTGATCAGTGACATCACCCACTGACGAAACGGTTGCGAAATCCTGAAAGGGCCAACAGCAGAGAGGACCGAGCCAGCCTATATCCCAGTCAAATTCCCCCTCCCAGAAAATTTGAAGGACTCTGATAGAGGGAACACGGCTATTGATCCAGAGATTTCTGTGTAGATACAAAAAGTAACACAGGCTTGTTGAAGATTATGAAAACGATAAAGTTTGGGAGCTGTTTTAAGAAGGCAGCCGTTCACTTTGATCTTGGTTGTTGTCCAACAAGCCGTTAACTCGAGTAAACAATTAAAAGCTATTTCTCCAAACAGAGGCTGATCGGGACACTTTCTAAGATCTATGATGATAATTATTAAAACATTTCACACAAACACTTGAAAATAACCAAAATACCCGTTAAAATGGAAAATTATGCCCTTTTTGTCCTAAGAACGTTGGCTAGTATAGTGGTTTGTACTATGTTAGAGCTACATGAGGCCAGTGTTTAAGAAGCGCTCCGTTAGTGGAATCCATCAAAAGTTTCAAAGCATGGCTCAAAAGACGCTTCTGTGTGATGTTGGGGTGAGCGAGCGTGATCGCAACGGTTGGAAATTCGGATCTCCGCCGCTGCTCGTGCACCCCGGCGTTGCTGCGTCTATGTTGGAAGGAGATTCCAGCACAACCTCGTCCGGCAGAGGAGGAGCTCCGGGGTCTCCCGGCTTCGGGAGGCTGGAGGAGGTTGTGGAGGAAGCGATTCCGATGCTGGCCCCGGACACAGAGGGCAGGTTTCCACATTTCCGTATCGATGGCATATTGAGTGACTCTGCCACGTCAGAGGTGGAGGAGCTTTGCTCTCCATCTGGGTGGAAGAGGATGGTGGAGTTGTTGGAAAATGTGTTGGGGAGATCGCTGCTGGAGCTCGGGGAGTTGAAGGCGCTGCCGCACGATGAGCTGGATTTTCCTGCAGCTGAGAGGCAGAAGGACATGAGACATTACTACCAGAGGCGCTAGATGCCAACAGGCAGGGCAGGCAATTGCTTGGGGCCCCAAGGCCTCAATGGGGTCCCAGAGGGCCAACAAACTATGAACCAAGTCAGAACTGCAACAGTAGTGAAACAATAAAAAGCATCTCACAATCCCTGATGGGGACCTCCCCCTTCCTTGTCTGACACCCCGCAGTTTAGTCAGAAAGCAGATATTTTTGGTTTGGGCACCATAAAAACTTTGAAACAATGATTTTTACAAGATGTTGCAGGTTTGATCTTCACTTAGCAAGGCTTACTAACCTCTGAGTGACTCTATCTTCTCATTTTTGGCCTTTTGCACTTCATCCGTGATCTTGGCAATGATAAAGTTTTGTGCTCGCATCTCTCGGATGGAGTCGATCAGGGCGTCCAGACCTCGTGGGTTCTCAGCCAGGATGTCCAGCAGCGTTGCAGTCCTCTTGGTCTGTGTGGTCCTACAGCTGATTTCCTCTGCGTCGTCTCGCGTAAGGATCCTTCGAGAACGCAGGTAGTCCAGGTGGCGGTCAGCTCGGATCTTATCGCAGAGGTAGTGCCGCAGTCTGGTCAGCACCTGCAGATGAAAGGGACGAAAAGCGAATATTTGAAGCCAAAAAGCAGGTGGACAACACTCCATGTTTTATTTTTTTTACTTCAGAACAATAGATATCGAGCATACATTCAATTTTAACAAAACAGCCTATTTAATTTAACTTACAACGTGGCTAAAGCCGCATTTCTGCTGTTATTGGTAGGATTTATTGTTTTTGTGGGTTCAGAGGGTGCGGTGAGATATTTCCCCCTTTAACAGGCCTCTGACTCGGATCATGGCGCACAGAATCACGTTCTTATCGAAACCGTCCCCACCTCTTTATCAAACTCATCCAGACTCAGAGCCAGCTGCTGTCTGAATGATCATACTCACGTCTTTTTTAATCTCTGCCATTTCATCTTCAGTAAGCTGAGCAGCATCCATCTCTCAAATCCAGGTGTTCCGGGTGAATTATGACGGTTTTAATCCGTTTTAAACGAAAAACAGTTCAACAAACGTCATAAAAAGTCTCCCGTAAGCGTTAAAGATAGGGATGTTTCATAATTCGTTGTTAAAAGTTGACACATCTATTGTCTCCTTCTCTTAATCACGGAAAATGCATTTTTAAAAAAGCCCCGGACTTCCTGATTGTGTCGATGTTTAACTACGTCAACGACAGAAGAGAGGAGTGCTCACACAACAAAGCCGCTCTCACTAAAATCTGACTTTTTCTCGGTAAATTCTAACAAAGCATATTAAGTGTAATATAAATGACGTATAATTGGCCTATTTTAATTGAAAGGGTAGCACCTTTCTTTGCTTTCTGCTGCTGACAGAGAAGTTTCGCTTTAGAAAGTTTCAAAGGTGACGCGTAGTTCTAACCAGCTCCACGAGGGGGTGCTGTTGGACCGCAGACAGGTAAAATCCCAGAAAAACTATCATAACAGAAAGGTACTTTTACCACAACCCATTCCCCTTACAGTTAGTTTATCTGGAATAATAGGGATAGTATATTACGCCAGAGAATATTATTTCTTTAGGTTTGGATATGACACAGTGAAAGGTTAACACTCCTGTTCCTACTGGAAATGATGAGTGTTTGTAGTAGACGTGATTTGGTAGCCTTGCAAGCCATCCTGCATGGGTAAATATATACGCAAAGGGCAAAATATTTTTGCTACTGCTATAGGCTTGTGATTTTAGATAAAAGCAGCCTAATCCTTTTTCTAGGAATTTCAAACCAGAAATTGTTACTGGTCTGTCCCCAGCATCTTCAGTTCACCTCCTTTGGACAGTATATATTCAGAATATACCACAACTTTCTACATTTTTGTCCATTTGCTCTTCAGTGTGATGAATCAATCACTTGAAAAACAGAAATCAATCTGCTGTCAGTTTTTCTTCATCAGCATCAATGATTGCAGTTTATTTTCTTTTTCCACATGTTTAATTAACAGAAGACAACATCTTAAACAAAACTAGACAGAAATGACACTTTAGTTTTCCAAGGAGAGGTTTTTCATCCAAATGAAAAGCAGACGGATGGCCGTCTGTCTCCCTTTTGATAGTTTTATACAACAATGCGAAAATTGAAGGGATGACCAATAACTGCTCTCATACTCCTGATTTCAGGAGGAAAGATGTTGCTGGAAGATGCTCTTTAGATGTCAGGAGTTTCAAAGGTCAGACTGGACGTGAATTGTTTTCTTAATAAAAGAACTTTTATATAAAAAACAGCACATGGTCTGTTCTTTACTACAACGTTCATGACATTTTAAAATATTTGTGCAAAATGTAAGAGAACAGGAGGGTAGAAAAGATGCACAAAGAGCCATGAGATAATTTTGTTTTACACCTGTGGCACAATGCATCCTATACCAGCAACAAAAAGCTTGCTACTACTGAGAATCACGTCTTCTAACTTTCTGAAACCACAATTTTGCATAATCTTGCCATTTTTACCCTCCTGTCCACCCACCTTACAGCTTTTGGCTGTTTTTAACACCCCCGTGTGTGTCACGGAGTTCACATGCACTTTATGCAAAACAGCAAAAATGTGGTTTAAACTTCCTCTTTTGCCTTTCCCCTCCATGATTTTCATGTAAATGGCTCCTCAGCACATCTCAGGTGAGACATTTTAATTATTCCAGGAAGGCTCATATAATCCAGGTGTCTTTGTGGCCCTGCAGCAAACCTTCACATTGAATTGAAATGTTTCATCTGCCTGTCTCATGTCCAACATTCCACTCAATTTACGTGCTTCTGAAATTTTCTAACATAACATCTTTTGGTGGGAAACGTTTCCCTTCCAAACCACTACAGTCAGCGATTTGCAGACATAATTGGTTCACCGAGTTCACGCTTGTTCGCCCTTTATGTGTTTGGGCTGGCACAGACTCTGAAGGACTTTTGTAACCGACGTTTGAGACAAAAATTCCTGCTTTAGTTGATCATTTTCTTTGATGCTGATCCTTTAATTGAATTGAAACCTGTGAAGTTCACTACGGAGAGGGTGTGGCTCCAGGCAACATTTTACTGGATTGAATGTCCTCCTTTAATCTGGATTTCTCAGGTTCAAACATTCCCTCGAGTTCTTGTCTTCACTTTGAAAGTCTGAAGCACTAATGCAGATTCTAATCCACCCACACCCTGGCAGGTGGCTCACTGGAATTTGCTGAATGACACAAAAGCCCATCGCATGCAGCAGTCTAAACAAACAGAAATATGTAGCTTTCCTTTTATATATATATATATATATATATATATATATATATATATATATATATATATATTAACAGAAGGGTCTGAGCTCACACAAACTGATGATGGAATATTTTATGCATCAATCTAAGACTTTTGTCCCTTATGTTTTTGCACAAACAGAGCAGAGAGAAAGGTAAAAATAAACCCATCATTTATGAGAAAGGCCTCTGGAAAAGGAAAAAGTGAATTAGACTCACAAGTATTTGTCACATTGTGTGCCTGTGAGCCCCTTGTCTCATTCCTTGTGTCGTTAGATTGCCCCCTGCCCTTGGTTCCAGTCTCTATAACTGCAAATAATTTCCTTCACCCAGAGTCCCAGTTTCATCTGTGTTTCCTACGCCTTTTATTTAGTTATGTAACTCTTCAGGCCATTGGTTATTTACTTTGGTTCTTTAGCCCTGCAGGTTTAGGCTAGTTTTTGTGCAGGAGTTTTTGTCTTACAGGCTTTATGATTTAGTTTCCTCCTCTACTTTGTTTTCCCTCCCCATTTAGTTAAATAGTCTCACCTGTCTTCCATCAGCTCTCACTCCCCACACACCTGCTCCTGGTCTGTTGATCACTGCCCCCTGTGTATCTCGTCTCTCGGTGTTTGTTGGTTCATTGTGTGTGTCTGCGTGAGTGTCACACCTGTTGCCTCCCATATTTCTGAGTTTCTAGTTTAGAATTTGCCTTCTGAGAGTTAGTTGAGAATTGCCCCCCCCCCCCCCCCCCCCCCCCCCCCCCCCCCGAGCTCTGCCTGACCGCTCAGAAATAAAGACTTTGTATTTCATTACACCATCTCCCTGTGTCATCTGGGTTCCTGCACTTGGGTCCAACCATGCCCTGTTCATGACAGTATTGGAGCAAACTTGAAACCTGCCAGCTGCAGGAGGGCAAAACACAAACATTTTACCATGCTGCAGTCCCAGCGATCAGAAAGGAACTGAGGGAAAGCTGCAGAAAAATCCCTTTAAGGACCAATGCTAATTAATCTAATATGTAACAACATGCTCTGTCGGGATGTTGCATAAAAAGCTTGTAAGATGATATCAGCATCAGTTTAGTATACTCAGAGCATAGACCCCCTCACAAAAAAAAAGAAATACTGTACATATAATTTATTTTTCCTATTCATACCCATAGGACAACCCTACAAAATAAACATTCATTGCAGCATTCCCCTTTAGGATAAACAACAGAACTACTTTTAAAACGAACACTTTATTTTAATGATGGAACAACTTTGTGTTATATCAGAATCAGAAGGATTCAAATGCTGCGGAAGTTGGTGAAATAAAAAATTAACAATAAGCAAAATTAGATTTAAGAAATAAACACAATGAAATGATGATTTATGGAAGCAATAGTTAGAGAAGCAGCTACTTTAAGTCAGTGTAGGTTCTGGTCAGAGCGGGTCAGTTCAGGTGCAAACGCAACACTCAGGTCATGCGACTGAAACAAAGCAGCAGATTGTCGTTCATGAGTCCGACTGCAGAGGGAAGAAACCGTTTTTGTAGTGAGAGCTTCTGGTCCAAATGGTTTACAGCCTCCTGCCAGATGGGAGCGAGTCGAAGAGACCGTGTCCAGGGTGAGACGGGTCTGTTGTGATCCGACCTGCACACCTCTATGTCCCGGAGGTGTACAGGTCCTGTATGGAGGGGAGTTTGCATCCAGCGACCTTCTCAGCAGAAGTCCTTGGCCTCTAGATGTATCCCTTTGCTACCAAGGAAGTCCATTACCTGCATTTCTAAGTTGTTTAATTCTTGTTCAGGTGGTTCTCCACTCTCTGTAGCTGTTGCTCTTGCATAAGCTTGGTGTGTTGTTTCATGTCCTGTCACTATTACATAATTTATTCTTGAATATTGTTCCAGTTCTGACACTCTTTCTTCCAGTAAGGTGATTTTCCTGTCCTTTTCCTCATTTTTTCTTCTTAGGACTTTAACCTCCTCCACTAATTCCTTCATCTCTTTCTGTTGTTTAGAGACTGTTGTAATTTCTTCTGACATAAAGCTCAGTGATTTCTAAAAATCAATTCCTTATTTGCATTAAACCACAAATTGCACAAAGTATGTGCAAACAGGTCAGTCCCCAATGAGCCGCTGCAGCTTTAATTACAAATTTTATGTACATTTTAAAACTTTAAGAAATTTCAAGTGAACTTAAATAATTGGTGTTTTATTTTTTTTAGGCTTTGAAAAATAACTCACCTATAATCAATAAATTATCCTTTAGATTTTCACAATTAGATGTTTTAGGATCTAGGACAGGCTCAGTGGAAGCTCTTCAGGGCAGCTCTTGGCTCTGACCCAGAGGAGGAAGAGGAGGACCTTATGCAGAGCTCATGGCAGAATGTGCAGAGATGCATTCCTCTATAGTTCTGGGACCCCTTCTTCATTCTGCCCATACATCAGATCTGCCAAATAAAAGATCGACTTGATAAAGTAGGAGAACAGATTTCTGCCAGCTCAGGATTTTGTGGAAGATGTGGAAAATCCTTATGATCACCTCCGTCCCACTAGTAAGACAATAACTGATGTATTTATGGATTTAAGGAGTCAGATTTTTATCAGATTTCTCCTCTCAGGTGTCGGCTTCATGTCCTAAAGAGTGCCAGTGTTCCTCTGAGGTCCCAGGGTGTGCAGCAGGAGTGAGTCTGGTGCTGGATAACTGCAGATGCTGTAAAGTTTGCGCTCGGCAGCTTTTTGAAGATTGCAGCGCGATTCGGTCATGTGACGAAGCAAAGGGACTGGAGTGCAACCGTGGAAGAGGATTGGACTTATCTAAAGGTGTTTGTCGACGTATGTCCACTCTCCTTACTCAACATTTTTATTCTTTGACATCTAACCTTTAATCTTCCTCCTCAACAGCTGAGTCGGATGGAAGAACTTGTGAGTTGAACAGCAGCATGTACCAGAACGGAGAAACCTTCCAGTCCAGCTGCAAACACCTGTGCACGTGCATGGATGGTTCTGCAGGATCTCACTTTGTCCTTGTGAGACGTTCCCTTCAAACTAGGCTGTGCTGAGCCAAGGTGGGTTAAAAGTTCAGGGACGATGCTGCAAACAGTTCATCTGCCTTGATGATGTGGAGAGGTCAGTGACAAGAAAGCACACAGGGGATGACCTCATCAGTATGAATGAGCTGATGTGGAGAGAAGGATTAAAGTCTCTACCTGTGAGGACTTACTCAAACTGTTAAATTTTTTTTAGAAGGAGCCAAATCTCTGAAATGTTTTGCGTTTTCAGTCACATTTCTATTTGTTTTAGTCCATAAAGCTTTGACAAGTTGGTCACAGTTTGCCAGGAGTCCAGTGTTTACCTCAGACCACAGCCTGGTCCTCCTGCGGCGTTGGGACTCTCCACCAGGATGACCAATAACAACATCAGGTGCAAACTAATGACAGAAACTCAAATCTGTGAGATCCAAACCTGCAACAAGATCACGTCCAAGGTCTGCTGAGCAGCAAACACAGTCTTATGTTTTATATTTCTGCAACGGATTTATTTAAAATCTAAAATTGGAATTTTCCACTTCACAGAAAACCCAAAAGTGTAGCCACACAGGAAAAGTCACCCTACCGATTCATCTTTCCTACACTGGCTGCCATAGCCTGAAGAAGCTCCAGCTCAAGCTCTGTGGGTCCTGCTTGGATGGACGATGCTGCCGGCCCCACAGGACTCACACATCCTCGGTCCTTTTCAGATGCAGGACTGGACAGATGCTCAGGAGGAAGGTAACCATGGTCCAGTCCTGCAGGTGTGACTTTAACTGCTCAAGTAACATTTCCACTGACTTTAATGCCAATGAACTAAAACTATGAATCAAAATCAGGTTCAATTGAAACTGAAGTTGCAGACCCATTATTAGAGATTATTCTGGATTTTGCTTCAGACACTGGAACCTTGTTTGCTTCTTTGTTAGCTTTTATTGTAAAATTTTTATTTTTGCAGTTAAACTCATTTTATTTTACACAAAACAAAGCACTGTTGACAAAACTTACCACGTGACAACAATTACCGCTTCATAAAAACCTTTTTTTACATCATTTCATAAACAAAGTGTTATTTTTCCTTGAAATATTTTCATTGTGTTCTGTTACTTGATGAACGGCCACTTTCACAATAAATGATCTCAGGTAAAACTCACCGCAGTGTGTCGGCGCATGTTCCATCAAGTTCTCGAAAGGGAAAATTTAATTTACAGTAAACAGGGAAACTAGAAACCCTCAGGGGGTTGTTGGAAGTTTTTAATGTAAACCACTATTTAATCTAGCTCACTTTTAGAGACCCTGCATGTCAATGAATGACTGGCTAGTATTGAAATCACTGAATGGATTTGCTGCTGTGTGGCAGGAAAATGTTTGTTTGACGTTAAACTAATCAGGACTTCCCATATTCCATTGTGGAAATCCACAGCACTCTGAGAACCCAAAAATGTATAAACTGTAGCAAAAAGCACAGTGAGATCATCACGATGGTAAACAGCGACAAGAGACACAAGAAATGTTTTTTTAAAGTAGTATCACTGTTACGTCCCTAAGCTCGCTAGGAGAGACGTATAGGAGGGAGTAAGAGATGCTGTGTGTAGTTTTAATAATAAAGTAAATGTGTCGCCAACTAAGGATTTTTATTAAACATAAAGAGCCTACAAAAGGAAAAAAGGATTAACATAAAGCGCCTGGCCAAAAGGGCAGGGAGGAGGAAAAATATCTAACTAAAATATTCAATCTATATACTAAACTAATCAAGAGATGTCCTGGTAAGCAGAGACGCTCGGGGGAAATCCAAAAGGGGGGGGGGGGGGGGGGGGGGGGGGTCAAAGGCCAGTCCAAAGTCAAAGTACCAGAAATCCTAATGAACACACACACACACACACACACACACACACACACACACACACACACACACACACAGAGAGAAGAGAGCAGTATGACCACTTCCGTGCCCACACTTCCCTGACAGCTGCTCAGGTGATTATGAAATTACCCCCAGCTGGGCACCGGGAGATCGACGAGGCAGAAGCCGCTGAGGCCATCTTGTGGCCGAAAAGGGGCACTGTACGTAACAATCACAGACACCACCAACAAAGAAATGAGCCTCACAGCTGAATAATCTCATTCCAGATTAAATTAAATACACATAAACACACACACTCTACACAATCGTGGCTAGAGACATTTGTTTTATTCCCAGTAACAAATATTTTGTTGCATGTCGGCTTTCTGGTGATTCCAGGGTGGGAAGTGGACTGAAAATAGCACCATAGCTGGTCCATTCATTCCCATGTAAACACGACTGCTGCTGCAAAGGGGTTAGAGTTACCATGACCCAACCACAACCCGGTTTCACATAAATATGATCCAAAAATCCAGTGTTCAGTTGTCTTTAACCCTAAAAGTAAAGACATGCACTACAAAAAGGCTTGTATAAAATTAAAGACTGTGTTCAGTTTCCCTGAAAACAGCAAACCTATTTTAAATAAGTTTTAGGAGCTTATTACCAGCACACACCTTTTCAAATAGCAGATCATTTCAGGAAATAAGACGATCCAAAAGTGGACATCTGCAGCCCTTCATCGAACATTGTCTTGTAAGAGTTTTTAAGGAAATCCACATAATTCTGAATGCTTCGTTTGTGGCTCTCTGATTGGTCCAGGCTGAGCTGCAGGTCTTTCAGACGAACCTCAAACTGTTTCTCTGCCTGCAAATAAAGAAAGAGGCAAACAGGATTTTCCTGTCACTCAACAATAAAACATCTCAGCTGCAGCTTCCAAAAAGAAATACTGCATACACTTTTAAAATAAATGTTCTAAAAATGATACTCACAGTTATTTTTCTCTGGCGAAGAAGCCGGAATTCATTATCCCTTCTGCTCTTTTCAGCTTCCAGCTCCATGATTTTTGTCTGCAGGGCCTCTTCTCTGGAAGCAGCCTGAAACTGAACTTTTCTGACCTGGACACACAATTAAATCTATTTCAGATCACTCTCGTTGATCTGCTCTTAACGGAGAGATCGGTAAAAGCGCACCTGCTCTCTGACGTCTGATAAAGCAGCCTCCAGCTGTCGGCTCAGGGCCTGACACTCAGACGAGCGCTGATCCAGCTGCCGGTTGCTGTATCTCAGAGCTTCCTCGTTAGCAGCAAGCTTCCGTACCAGCTCCAGGTTCTCCAGCTGCAGCACGTCTATTTTCCTGCAGACATCAAAGAAATGTGATGTTTAAATCCGTCCACAAAAAAGGGAACGTTTCTAAACACTAGCACATTACTTTTGAAGTGACTGTATGTGTTCCTCTAGCTGTAATTTGACTTCATGAATGGACTCCTTCATCTCCACTGATGCTCTCAGTTGTTTGGTTTGACTCTCCATCTGTGGCAAGATTTAAGAATCAAATGTCGAGTGCAAGAAAATGGTGCATTTGGCATTGGAAGCTGAATAAAATAAATAAATTTTAATGTCTTTTAACAAGGTCGTATAGAAGGAGCCACCTAGAAACACAATATGGGTTACTGAGAAGGTCTCTCTCTCTCACACATACACACAATCAAAAATCAATGCATGCTGCACTGCAACCAGAATCAAAACTAGATCAGAAAACCAAATGCACCAGCAAGACATAAAGACTGTGCTGCCACTTAGTGGTCAGATGTGAGAAAATGACATTTGCATTTCACATCTTCAGACCACACAGCTAACATTGCACACCTTAGATTGCAGCTGCTTAATGGATTTTGACTTTTCTGAGCACCTCCTCTCCAAGCCCTGCAGGCTCTCCTGGCGATCGAGGAGCCTCTGCTCAGCTGCACTCAGTAACTCGGGGTAAGCCCCTAGCTCTTCCGCACGCCCCTGCAGCTCCCGCCTCACCTGGGCTCCAGAGGAGGGTGACGCAAGGAGAACAGATGCAGTGTTAACTGAAATGATCACAACACCTCTCAAAGAGATGCTTGTTGAAGTGTCAAGCGCTTTAAGAATATAAAACACCCCACTTTTCTAATTAAGACTCAGAAAAACGTTTTCCTGACTAGAATCATCCAATCAGGAACTAAACTTCCACCTTCTCCACCGCTGTATGTTTTCCTTCCCGTGTCTTTTCTGTGTCTTGTAAAAGATTTGCATATTTTATTCTAAGGCCATCGATCTCAGCTTGTAGTTCAGCAATCTAAAGAAAAAAAAAGAAATGACCGGTGATTAAAAACAGTTTAAAGTTTTCAAACTTTCCATGTTCTAAAATATTCAGAGATTCTCTTTAACTGTTATTGAACAGCTAATTGAGAATGAAAATGCCCAGTTTTAGACAATATATCTGAAAAAATGTCATTAATTCAATTTGAAGAGCATTTTTATCTAAATTATTTTCTAAAACTAGAAACGAACCTGAAGCTGGCACCGTTCAGCTTGATGTTTCTTCTCTTGGGAGATGATTTTCTCCTCGACGAGTGCCGACTCACAATCAGTGAGCTGGTGCTCCAGCCGAGCCACGGATGCCCGCAATCAGAAAGAAACCAACGTTTAAATCGTAGGATAATAAAAAACGAGAAGGATCTGTTCAGCCCTCAGTATGATTAAGCAGCAGCGTGTGGTTTCATATAAAAGCATGTAGCAGCCTTTGTGTGCTCTGAAACATCTCCTACCTTGAGCGCTGCATTTCGAACAGTCAGTTCTCCGTTTTCAGCGAGGATTTTTTCAGACTTTTGCATCTTCATCTCATGAGCTGCAGAGAGCTCATCTTTCTTTTTCTGCAACCTCAAAGTCAAGTCTGCAACTTGACTTTGATACAGAACAAATCCAGTCCATCAGTAGGGACTCTGAGCCAACCCAGCTGCATACTGATGACTAGTTTGCATGATTTGGGTTGATAAATAACCAACAAACCTTTTCAGGACGTCTATGTGAGCGAGAAGTTTTTGTTTCTCGTCTGTCGCCTGCTTTTTCTGCCGTCTTTTGGAGTCTCTTTGTAAATGTGCTTCAGCCAACTCTGCATCCTGACGTTAAAACAAAATCGAATGTCACACTCGAGTCTTTACAACTCATATTTTGTGATGTTGAACTCATACCTTTTCCTTCAGCTGTGCACGACATTTGTCAATCGCAGCTTCAAACCTCTCCGTCCTAAGTTTTTGTGCCCGCGTCGCTTTCTTGAGCGATTCTTTGTCTTGTGCAGCTTTCCTGGTCATAGAGGCAATGGACGCTTTCAGCTCATTGATCTCCATCTTTTGCTCAGTTAGAGTTCTCTCCAGAGTCTAAAAAACAACAACAATAATGTTATTCTACATTAAATAAAGCTTCCAGAGGGTCAGCTTTAATGAAAGGGTTCTTACCCGTAATTGGACAGTCAGGCGACTGTTCTCAGCGTCCTTGTTGCGCAGCTGCCCTTGCAGGCGAGCGTGCGTCACTTCTGCCGACTTGGTCTTATGAACTCCACTTTTAATGTTCTTCTGAGGGAGCAAAACAAATGCTTTCTAATAAAATTAATTTCAATATTTTATTGATTACCTAGTGTTTTATGTGCTTACCTGCTGGTCTCTCCTTGTATTCATTAGCTCCTCGATCCTCCGCTCAGTCTTGTTCAGAATGATTTGTAAGCGCTCACGAAAGAAAACATGAGCAATAAGGTATAATTCAAGCATCACAATCCATGTTTGACTCAACTCCTGACTAATTATATCTTCTCCCATCATAGAATATGATATAATAAAACATTCACCTCATTTTCACTTTCAGCTTGTGTTATCTTCTTTAATAAGAGGTCTGTCCGTTTCTTTTCAGTAATTCGATTAACCTGTATAAGGAATTCATTATTAAAGCAGGTAAAGTCAAACTTATTACAATTTATATTTAGAGAAAAATTTTAAGTCATTTTTTTTTGCATAAATTCAACATTTAAAAATCCACCTCTGCATTTTGGTGTAGTTTTAACTCCTGTCGCACAGATTTATTTATTCGTCTAAAATTCTCCAACTTCTCCAGCAAAAGTCCTCTCTGCCTTGTGATTCCACGCTTGTCTTTGGAAGACGGTCCCAAATCCTGAATTGAAAGAAGATGTGATTATTTACAGACACGGTAAATGCTCAAACCAAACAGAAGAAGGTAAAAATTGCTCTTAATCATACAGTAAATTCATCTTCTATTGCATTTTTGAATGAAGCAAGTTGTATTCCTGCAGAGTTGGCAGCAGCTTCTGCATCAATCAGTAGTTTCAGAAAGGTGTGCTTCTCTTCAAAGCTAAATGAAAAATAGGGATGTGAGAAAATGTTGTAAGCCTTTTAGCTCCAGAGCACATGTTTATAAACATGTGTGTTTTCTCTGTGACCTGTTTCCTTTTTGTGGCTCATGACTGTTGTCTAGGTCACCACGCCTCAGAGTGAGATCATCACTGGTGGAACTGAATCCAGGAAAAGGGGAACTCTGGGGATCACCATCCTCTGGAGACATACCCCCCACTAACAAAAACATAACATAATAAACAAAATAAAACAAAGTGTTAAATCACTAAATATCCTGATGGAAATTCTATCTCATATGCTTATAAGATCGTTTTATTACACTTTACAGCCAATTTGACTTGAACCAGGAAGCCAGCGGACACCCAAGCTAACATGCTGTACTCCATAGCAACGGACAGGTTTGACTAAGCCGTCGTTTAACGCGTGTTAATTTGCCGAATAAGCTAAGTCACTAACAACCACGTGGTGACTAATGTAATTAAACTTAGTACATTTCAACTTTAAATCGTATATTCTAGAAAATTCTAATATTACTCACACTTTCGCTTTGTTTCTGTTGTAAATAATACCACTTCAACTGGGGAGGCAGCAGGGACGCTCAAGCGCGATTGGCCATCTTCGAAGTAACGTAATGACGCTACATGTTTTTCCCATCACTTATTGGCTCCTCGAGGCAAAGAGGGGCGGGACTACGTTTGATTTTAATTTCAAACAGCCAATGGACGAAGAAAGAAGGGGAGCTTGGTTGAAACCATAGAAACGACAAGGAAGTCTTGTAGTCGGAGAACATAAACGTAAATAAGCTAGTTTAGTATACTTTTATTCTTTTAACTTAAAATACCACACACATGTTTCTTTAAAGACGTACTTAGCAATTTATATTCACGCTGAAACGTTGATTTTCTTAGGGTTCTTAAAGCTAGCGTGATAGCTAATGCTCGGCTTCGGAAATGTTCAAAGTAAAAATACTCTTTGTTGGACCTACCGAGGTAAGTAAATGAACGTAAAACGTATATAGATGAGCATGTATTGTTAACTTCTTTAGTGATCTCGGTCCTCGAGATGTCCAACACGTTTGAGTTGATTCCCTGCTTCAACACACCTGATTCAATTATCTGTTCAACAGCTCATCATGCTCTGCAGAATCACCTACTCGTTGAAATCAGGTGTGTTGAAACAGGCAAACAACTAAAACATGCATAATACCAGCCTTCCAGCACCTTTACCCCAGTTCTAGTGTAAACTATTTTATGTTTATCTCAGTAGCACTTCAGCTAATATCGAATTCATATATTTATGACAGTCTAATAACCTTGTTATGACGGTGTATGGAAGCATTTAAAAGAAAAACGCAATGCTTAGGTTAATGAAATCAAAACTATGCTATTTTACGAATAAAGACCTTTTGAAAGTTTTTAATGTGTAAAAAGTAATTTGTGAAAAGACAAAAAGATTGGATGTTTTTGAATTCAACTAAATACATTTTATTTGGTTACTCGAGCACACTTTAATTGTACCTCAGCTATTTCCATTTTCATGTCACACCGGACATGTAGTACAAATAAAACTCAGATGCTTTTCAGCACCACTGGTCAGTTCATAAACATGCTTATATTGTAAAATGTGAGAACTAAACATATCTTTAAAGTGATCTATTCCTTTTTTCAGAGTGGGAAAACTGTTCTTGCCAATTTTCTCTCAGACATGACAGAAAACGTGGGCGGACAGTACCGACCTACTAAAGGAGTCAGGTACAGGCTGTTTTCCTTTCATTACCTTTCATTCAATGTTATTACCTCATATACATATTATACTAAAATGATCACATTCACTTTCTACTTGCTCAAGGATACTGGAATTCAAATCCCAGCTTAAAGGCAGTGGTGACAAGACCTGTGAGGTGGAACTTTGGGATTGTTCAGGAGATTTTAAGTAAGTCATATTCACTAAGAAAATGCCTTTTCTTTCTAAATGAAAGCTGCTTTTTGATGCCAACCCTTTTCTGCAGGTTTGAATTATGCTGGCCTGCTCTCATGGAAGACTGTAATGGTGTGGTGACCATTTTTAATCCTGCTGTTCCAAGTCACCTGAAAGAAATTGAGACCTGGTACTCCATGTTCATTGCATCCCAAGGTTTGCAGGACAACCAGTGTCTACTCATAGCTCATCACAAGCCTGGCAGTGAGGTAAAAGATGGGCAGTTGACTTTAGGTAATCTCCTAAAAGTGTTGCATCAGTTTTTTGTTTTGTTTTCCGAGCTAACATCTTTACTCTTTTGATGCAGCACCAAATCTGAGCAGACTGCAGCTTATTCACTCCAACCTGGAAGAGGACCCAGAGGATGTTAGACATGCTTTCTTCAGATATGTGGGAAATGTTGTAAATGGGATGTTGGAGAGTCAAGAGCGAGAGGAAATGTCAATTATTACTCAGCAGTGAAATCTGTACATATCTACCCGACTGACTGCACAGTTCATTGGCTTATGTAACTCATCAAGTTATTTTCTGTTAATAACTTGTCCCTAGTGTTTTATTAAAGGTTCATTTACTTTATACCTACCTACTTTATACCTTTATTCCTACCAAAGCAGGAATACATGTGTGCCATTACCTTAATGGAAAACAAAATAAATCAGTTCATTAAACAACAAACACTCACCTATAATATAATGCATTCTTTAGAACCATAAAGAAATGTCTAAAATGTCCACGCAAAAAAAAAAGTTACAAGTTTTACATTTCTGTGTCTGCACAAGTTGGAAATAAGCAAAAGGCACTTGAACAAAGCTAAATAAAGCATGTTACACGTTGTAGAGAAGCTCATGTGCAGCTTCACATTTACATGGATGACTGAATCATTACTCACTTTCCTCTGACTCACCCTGCACCTCACATAAGACAAAACACTGCTGGAAAAACACTCAGAAAACAATAATGTTGGACCACCCCACATTTCCAAAACAAAAATTAACCCTTGCTCCCATCTATTAACAGATTTAACTCAGCAGTCCTGTGGGAGAGGTTTGTGATTTAAGAGGTATTGTGAAAAGTTCCAATACAAAAAGAGAAATAAAAACCTTTCAGCTCTCATTTAATTCCTTAAGTAAAAGCACATGTACATATTTACGTTTGCATATACAAAAACGTTTAGAAAAAAGAGCATTACTCTTTCCTTTTTACGAAAACTAAAATATTGGATCACCTTCACAAAAAGAAACAAGATCCATCAATCCAACAATTCTCTCAAACCCTGTTTGTGCAGTTTAATAATCAGAGTTCATGTAAGTAAACATGGGATAAAAATTGTGAACTTCTGCATAAATGAGCAACTCGTAAAAAATTGCTTTGTGATATTTTCTTTACTTTCTTAAACTTCACTAGACGACTAAATAACATGATGCAATCTCAGTAGTTTGGTGTCTCAATGTATTTTTTTTATTGATTTTGCTCTTAGATTAAAAAAACTGCAGCCAAAGTGCTGATGAATGGCATCTTAATCAACGTGTGTGATTTTGTCTTGCAGAAGTACAAATTGATTTTTATATGGGCCACTAGAGGGCACCCTTTAATCTGCTCCAAAGGCAGATGTTGACTGTTGAGGTGGGAAAAGCTTTGCAAACCCTAAATCAGTTAAGATACTTTTACCTGCAAGTTATCCCAATGAATAAAAAGTCTTTAGGGCAAAGCTGCAGACCGAAAGTACAAAAAAATAAGTATGCTGCATAAAATAAACTGACTTATTGCTCAAAAATATATTTTATTGCATTATTTATTTTAAATGAAAATAAATGTTTACAAATGTAGAATATCATGAATCACATCCACAATGTCTTAAATGAGATGAATGGAGTAGATTTATTGAACATTTGGACATTTTCGATATGCCCTGTGATCACACAAAACAGATGTTTTCCTCACAGCAACACAGGAATCAATAGTAAACCGAGAAAGGCTGAAACCTGTGGTGACAGGATCTCTCTCGTCTCGATTTAAAATGGTCCGTGAACGCAGACACGACTGAAACAAATGACATCATCACCTCAGCCTTGGCAGTAAACACACAAGTGACTGAGCAGCTGAATAGGGCAGTAATCAGTCCCAACCCCCAGGGTATGAAAACAGATAAGGGCCTCACTCAGATGTTCTCATCACAAAAGTGAAATTTAATGCAGAGATGAAGCCATTTGTTTTAATGTCATATGTAGATATTTTTGAATCCGACACCCCAAACACATTCTTTCTGCTCCTCTCTAATCATCTTTGGCTGAATCAGAGTTTTTCTCAGCCTTTGTTGCATGACCCCTCTCTCTCTCTGGCCTTGGTCACATGTAATAATGACTGTATAATCCATTAGATGTAAAAGTGCACTTCACAACATGCATGAAATTAGTTTTTAATGTGTTTCAGTTTGACTTGTCATCAGCATTTGCAGAGTTTATCTTTCATCGTGCAGCTCGAAAAGAGGATTATTGTTTGGAATTGCAAACTGGATAAAGTTATGAAAGATAAAAAAAATTAAATGAGAGAAATAGCATCTTATTTTAGAAAGCTTTCTGTTGCAAGTTTACTAAATTAGTAACACAACATTGCAAAGGTACCCTGGTTATTGGAAATGCATGGATATTTTCCAGTTTCAATGAAGATGAAGTCATGTACCTTTGTCAGGTTTCTAACCTGTAATCTATTTGTGAAAATGCTAAAAAATCTGAGTGTTTAAACAACTCTATCACACAGTGACAAACATCCATCTGTCTGCCTCTGATATTAGAGGTACTGCATTTTTTCAGTTCAGATACAGCGCTGTGAAAAAAGCCAAGTTTTAGAATTCTATGATTGAATTGATCAAATCAAATCAGGTTTATTGTCATTATGTTCAAAACAGAGTACAAACACTACAAAAAAGCGTTTCTCCACTGAGATCCATCTGAGTCACATGCTCCATACATACACAACTCTGCTGAATTTAAAAACAATTACTAAAATGGTGTTAAAAACTATAATAAATAAGATAAAAAGCTCCCAGTAAATGAAACTCATACACTTGCACCCACCCACACACACCCCTCCATACATGTACGCACACAATTCACACTGGACTTAGCGGGATTTTTTAAAGTGCTAGTATCTCCTGCTCATAGTCCAGTTGTATCTAGCAGCCGTACAGCCTGAGGCAGGAAGCTGTTCAGTAGCCTCGTAGTAGAGCATCTTCTGCTGCGATAACGCTTCTGGGAGGGTAAAAGCTGAAAGAAGCCGTTCAGGGGATGTGTGAGGTGAATTGAAAACTGAATCTGGTGTTTCCTCTGGTAAAAATTCATCGGTTTAAAAACTATTTACTGATCTTAAAACATTTAAGTGTAACAAGAAAACTAAGAACAAATAGAAAATCTAGCAGCAAATAACTTCTAACAGAATTATACTTGGTTGCATTTTTTAGCACAGGTTGGGCTGGTTGTGGTGGGATTAATGCTAAAGTTAAAATAAAAAGGATAACACAAATGAGAACTGCATCTTGCTTTGCAGTTGGTGCAGAAAGGTGACAACCACGAGTCACAGATCTTGATTACATTTCTGACAGGACTGCCAGCTCACCTGAAAATGGAGCACAAGACTCATGGGAAACATTTTCACCATCTTACACTAAAATACCCCAAAAACTCCAATTAAGCAAAATTGCACATCAATAACCTTTTTGTGGCTTTTGAAACAATTCCTGTAATTGACAAGTTGGAAGAAAAACACTTAAAATGTAGATGTTCACCGAGATGAAGAACAAAGATGGAACAACCTTCAAGTTTTTCTCAGTGCAACTTTTATTTAATTACGAACCACTTGAGCAGCTTTTATGTTTCAAAGTGCACCTGCTACTTTCACCTTCCTCTAAGGTTTTTTGAGAACTAGCACCAATTAGAGATCAGAGAATGGTTTGAGATGCAGTAATGTCTGAAATGACCTCTAATAACATCCAGGGTCAGCCGAATATCATCTCTGAACACAATGAACTTTGAAGCAGAGGGACTCCAGCAGCAGAAGTCCACATCAAAAGTCTCAGTATCTGCTATGAACAGGAACCCAAGGCTTTTTCATTCAAGATCAACACAACGAAGCAACACAAAATTGGAAAAATGTCTCCTGGTCTGATGAGTCTTGATTTCAGCTGCAGCATTCAGATGGTTGGGTCAGAATTTGGTGACAACGTAAAAGATCCATCCTGTTTTGTATCACCGCTTCAGGCTGCTGGTGGTGTAATGGTGGGGGGAGATTTTTGGCCCCCTTTGGACCCCTTAGCTCCACTTGAGCCTGCTTTAAATACCACAGCCTACCTAAGTATTGATGCTGACCATGTCCATCCCTTCATGATAAATGATAAATGACCTGCACCTCCAGTCCAGACACTTTGGGGAAGTTCCAGCTGACAAGTCTGCACCAACTGTGGTGAATCCATGCCAATATTCACCAGAACCTGTAAGGAATGTTTCCAATACCTTGTTAAATCTTTGACATGAAGAATGAAAGGTGTAGACCACGTATTTAATCCATTTATTGCAGTGGTCTCTAGTAGGAATGAATGCCTTGTAAGTCATTCCTGGAGAGAAACAAAATACTGGTGCACCATTTCCAGGAACCATAAGGCCATTCCCAATACTCACACTGCACACTATGCCCTTCTGTGAAGTGTACTTAGAGGAGGTGCACAGTAAGGCTTTGAGTGTGTGGTACACAAGTGAGCTGAATTGGTGTAGCATGATGAAGGTTCTCTAATTTTTGGCAAAGGTCACATTTACCCAGCTGGGTCAAGCTGGGTCAGACAGTAACTTTTAAATCCACAGATTAACCAAGGAGTCATGATGTCTGAAGAACATTTCATTATCTGCTGCTGTTCCGTACCAGAAGAAGGACACTTCAAGTTTACGATAATATTTAAATAATAATATTAATAAACTCTTTGACTTTATTACTGTTTATTATAATCATCATAAATGATCACTTGGTTCAGTATAAATGTATTTTAATTACTGAAATAAATTATTATGCTTTGGGTACAATAATGATTACAATGATTATGGTTAGTAATGTGTGTTCAGCAAATCAGAAGGTCAGCTTCCACCTTATCCATCTAACACAGTGAGTTTATCCAGAGTAAAGGGTAACTGCCAACACATGTTTTTGACGCATGACCATAGCTTTCTTGCTGAGAGTGGGTGTGTTCTGAGGACTTTGTAAACTAACTGCTCGCAGCTTTCACACCAGTTCGTGAACCCACCACCATCACTGGAGGATCAGGGAACGGCCGTCCCTAACCTTCACCTGCTGTTCTGTCACGCTGATAGAATACGCTTTGAATAAATGTAGCTGTAGCCAGCTGACACAAAAACTCCTTCCAGAGTTATTGATTTTTGAGTTAAGTTAAGATGAGAAACTCCTTCAGAGTTAAGCCAAATGCTCGTCACTGTGTACCCAGCGACATCTCTGGACCAGAGGATCAGTTCACTCGCGTTTTCTCTACCGGACCGAGTACCCTGAGGTGGACAACACCCTCCTTGATCTCCGGATCC